CAGGGTTTTTACTACGCGGGCAGAGGAGGAAGGAAGGGGAAATACGAGAGATCGCAAAGTAAGCTACGCAGAGCTTTTCCACTCTGGGTGTGATTTTTGGTCCACCGAGCCAGGTGCTGGTGTGAAAACAGACCTCCTCCTGTAGAATCCCTCTCCTTGTTTGACAAAATCATGGCAATCTGCAGCTGCGCATGACCTTTCAAACTCAGCATAATAGCGCGGTGACCGTTCTGGAAAAGTCTCGTGTGCTGAAGGAAATTGACAAACAGACAATCGCAATTACAATGGAACACCCCAAAAGTGGTGTTCATTTTGAACTGAACCAAAAGTTCACCATGTGCTGTATTTAGAATGATTCTCATCAGAAATTAAGCACCTTTTTGAAATGATTTTTTTAAGGTAGGTAGGTGCCAAACACGGCCCCAAATAAAAAAAAACTCCCTCAAGAGTTCCCCTATGGAAAGTTCCGCACACACACAAAAAAAAAAAAGAACACAGTTTCATTGATTGAAGCGAAATTGGGTGCATGTGTCTGTTAACAGGGCACAAAAAACAAAACAAAAATCTCAAGGACCCATGCACAAAATTCTACAAGAAGTCCGCCATTTTGGTTTGAAGCAGCCATTTTGAGTGAATTCCAGGGCTGGTATTTTAAAGTAGGAAATTCCCCCAAATGAGTCCCAATCAGAAGCTTTGATCTCGGACAAATGGATAATGCTAATTTGCCAAGATTTTTTTTATTTTTTTTTTAATACCGACACCATTTGCTATAGTGTACCTTTAATAAAAGAAAATGTTGATAGCAACTATTGTAGCAAGTTTCAGTGGTTTTGAAATTTGGACCGGTAACCGGCTCATGCCCGAAATCAGCCCGAGGTCAGGCTTCATTCCTGCCTCCCTGAAGAGAATAAGAGGTATAAAAAAAATGGGTGGGTGAGTTGTTGGATACATTCATTCACATTTCATTATTGCAATGTGAAAATTGTTTTGGAGTTAGGACAACTTGGAAGTCAACCGGCATCATGGAACAGGTGGTTGTTAAAATTACAATTAAGCGTCCAAATCTTATCTGCTTTGGAAACAAACTCAGCACATTTGTATTTACTACCTAATTCATGTGCCCCCCCCCCCAAAAAAAAATATATTATTACTATTTTCTACTTTTTCCAGCCCACGGTTAACAACAAAAGGCAGCATTCATTCAAATTGCGCCGCGAAGGTTGTCTTTTTATGTATTTCAAATGACCCTGAAGTCAATGGCACTGACGGAACTCCTGAGAATGCGATGCGAAACCTAACAAGTTGAATATCGTTTTGTTTTATAAGAATGAATAAGAAACAAAGCACATTGGAAGATCCTTTTTTTTTTTTTTGGGAGATGTGCATTGCCGCTGGCGAAATAGTTTACATTCTTAATGGTGACAAGTCGTTTCACATCCTCGCTGTTCTTTTTCGCAACCGCACTTGTGCTAAAACCTCAAACGGATGTGCCGTTTGAAAATGAACTGAGACATTGCACGTTTGAAACGCTGGCGTGTGTGCGTTCCCCTTGCACACATTCCAGGTTGTATCATCATGCTTTCACAAAAAAAACTTGCTTTCTGGGTGTGATTGTTGTTTGCTCACAGATCATTATAACTGTGAGCAAACAAGATAAGTGCGAGCGTGTTGTCTGTCAGTCATTGTGGAACGTGTGCGTTGCAGGCTGTGACACGCCAACATGTACCACAGCCTCAAGAACGCTGTGTCCTTGTCCTGGAGCTCATTCTTGCTTTCTCCCTTTTTTTTTTTCAAGAAATGAACCGAAACGGAATAGTTGTTCAATGGGAAGCTGCTGTACTCTTTGTTTCCTCACTGACACTTTTTGAAAATCTGAAATTGACATCAAGCTGCTCTCTCTCTCTCTCTCTGCAGTTGGCAGCTTATCTGCCCTCAGGTGTTTATCGACCCCCCCCCCGCTTCCCCTTGTCTTTCTCTTCTTTGTATCTGTTCCTACCTCCATCCGCTCATCCCTCCATCCTGTCCAGCCTGTGCCAGAACTCCCTGATGGCTGTGCTTTGGCAGCCCTGTGGATGGGCATCTCTGTTCATGTTTGTGACACCTGGCTTGGTGCACACTCGGTTGCAGCCCAGCCGACTTTTATTATAGTGCAAAGCCCCGTTGGCTTTTTTGGCTGCTTTCAAGAAGTGTCGCACAAAACCGATCGCCTTCACAAAGAAATCGCACACCCAGAGACACTTGGCTGAGTGAAATCCTTTTCATTTTTCAGTATCTTGAACTAAAATCTTGTGTCCTAGAAATTAGGGAACTGTCAAGTAGGGCTCAAAACGGCTTGTTTCCAAAGTTTGAAAATCTCTTAAAATCATAAAATATCGGCTTTTTTTTTTCAAAATTTTTCCCCCCAAACATGTAAACACAAGACAATGACATTAAAAAAAAAAAAAAAAAAAAGAAAGAAAAGCCCCACCCAATTTCATTCGGATCTTTATTGTTGTAAGCGTTAAGGAACCTCAAAAACGTTTCTTTTTTCTCCCCAATATACATTTTTTTAATTAATGGGTTCGCGGAATTTCACTCTGCCAAATCTTGTAATCATGACCAGCCTAAAAAAAAAAAATCACGGTGTAGTCGGGCCCTACTGACAAGCTCTGTGTTGACGAAAATGACGAACTTTGAGGTTTTGTTTTGATTTTTAAATGTCATTTCTGCTATTTGACAGTCCCACTGCCTTCACAAATGTTTCTGTAAAATACCTACATTTGGGATGAACTACGGTAATATACAATGTTGAGTCTTCATGGAAAACAAAGAACTCTTCCTTCCACCATCAGTTTTCAATTTTACTTCAGGTTATTTCTGTATTTAGGTCAAGCTCACAGAAATACTTTTGCGCATTTCGCGCTATGTAGAAATAAACCCGCCTTGACTTGCCAAAGCTAAAGTCCTCACCGTTGCTAACGTGACGTAGCTCCAGCCCCATTATTGTGTCTTCAATCAGAGTTTGGCAAGTGGCTGATTGAATTGTTTCCAGATTGCGAGAGCCTTTGCCAAATCGGAGAAGGCTTGCTCGTTCGCAGATGTTGTTGATTCAAACACACGCACTCTTTGTTAGCCTCTGTTCAGATGATTATCAAGAACTAAACTACGTGGACGGTACACACTTTGCAACCAAGTCGGTCTCTTGTGCCTTGTTTCATTTCTCGCTGTATTGGAGTTAAAACAGACAAAAAAAAAAGTCTTGCCTCAGAAGCACAAAGAGTCTGAAAAAAGCGACTGTCTAATTTTCACATCCCCATAGGCTTCTCCACACATCAAGCAAAACATCCATCTCGACATGATTCTTTTCTTTCAGTTTGGTCATGTGATGCCGCCACACTTTGTTTTTTTTTTTCGTCGCATTTTTCATCACCCGTTTCATTTCATTCCTTAAAGACACACATACGGTATAAGATGTAACGTAACCCGGAAGATGGGGGGGGGAGACACACTCCGAAATGTATAATGTAATGAGGCTGTGTCCTTGCAACTATGTGCGATGACGGCCACGACTACGCTGGCTGTGACTGACAGGCCGGCTCATCATCCAGATGAGTGTGTTTGGGGTGGCGACGACGTGTTTCCAACCTCAGCTTTGCTGTTCTTTATCACCCGCCTTTTCATGTCCTCCCGCTCCTCCGCCCGGCTTCCCCCAGTGGCGGGAAGAAGGCGGAGCTTGAAAATTAAAGCGCGAAAGTAATGAAGAGAGAGGCCGATAATGGAAAAATGAAAAAGAAGAGCAGCAAGGGGCGGGGGCGGCGGGGGCAAAATCGAGAGAGAGAGAGATGAGTGAAAGCAAAGGAAGTGGCAGCAGGCGAGGGAGGGGAGAGCAGTGAGGAAGAGGAGGGTGAATGGCGTAATAATGGCACCGTGTGAGAGCTGTTGTTGGAAAAAGAGAGAACGGCTGAGTGAGGAAAGCAACAAAATGAGGCTGAGGGCACTCAGACAGATAGAATTAGACATACAGCAGAGGCTTTGTGTGCCTGTGCGTGTGTGCGCCGCCGGATGCTAACTACGTTTGTGTATGTGCAGGAACACAATGTTAAAATGTTTTTAGGGCAGCGGAGTGCATTTTCATATGCTTTCTCGGGTACGGTCGGTTGTATTATCACCAAAGGAAGTGACTGGCAAGTGGCACGTACCTTACTGGGAACACCTTCATAATCTCTAGCTACGGTGGATGTAAAAAAAGTCTACACACCCCGTGTTCAAAACGCCAGATTTTTGTGATGTGTCAAATGAGAGCAAGATAAATCATTTCAAAACTTTTCCCGGCCTTCATGAGACCTGTAATCTGTACTCAATCAATTCAATTGCATTGTTTAGTGTTTTTAAGAACCTTTTCGAGAGGGGAAATGAAATACAGGGTGTGTCGACTTGACAACCCCGAGAGCCGTGTACACCGTAACATACCACAACCACACAATGTCTGTATGAAATTGCTTATTTTAATTAAATAAGAGTCCGTTAGATTGTTCAAATGCATATTTCATGAAATTATAATCATTTAACTACTGATTTGGTCCTTTACTGTGATATGTACATGTCAAACTGTTTATATCGCTATGATTAACCCTTTCGGGGGCAGCGGTTACTACAGTGGACAGCTTATGTTATCAGGTTACAGGGTGCATGAAAGGGTTAGCCCTGCTTTACAGTGTGTAGGAGTGTTTAGTTAGTGGATAAGAAAACTATGAAGGTGGTGCACGAGTATGGAGACCAAAAAAAAACAAAAAAACAGAGTGAGGTTGCTGAAAGGCGCTCTCAATTTGCCTCTGTTCCACCTTGCGCATTCTTCCTCCGACACAACCTCATTAGAAGCATGTTTCTTTGATGCGGCGAAGGCTTAATGTGCTGTAAATGCGTCTCATATGCTCTGTGTTCATTGTGCACTTTGCCATATGCGATGTGATCGAGTAGCCGCTCGCTCTCTCACTCGTTCCCTCCATTTCCCTCCATCACAGGCGGAGATTGTGAAGCGTCTCAGTGCCATCTGCGCTCAGATCATCCCTTTCCTCTCTCAAGAGGTGAGTACGGTTCTCGCCAGGCACACGTGCACATTTTACCTGGTTTCGTTCATTCAACCCTAATATCTACTGTCACTCTGATAGTAAACATTAAAGCCTCCTCTGCATCACAAACAATTGCAACTGTGGACACTTACAGTACTTGGAACAAGGCATAGAGTACAATGGTGCCTTGAGATATACGTTTTAACCAACTCAAATCATCCTTCCCCATTGAAATGAATGGAAATGCAACAAATCCGTTCCAACCCCCCAAAAATAACAAAATGCGTTTTTTGTTTGCATGTTTTTGATTTAAAAAAATGCACTCAGTGGTATTGTACTGTCATAAAAACACACAATAGAAATATTTGTTCTCCTCATAAACTGCGAACACAGAAGAACTGGCACAAACCATGCCTGCACTATTCTGTTCCTATGATATTGTCCTTTGTTTTTCTTATGTTACCATCTTAATGGTGCATTACCGCCATACAACAAATTAATGTTAATTTCTTCTTAAATTTGAAAGTCAGTCGATTTCCTGTTTTTTCTTTTGTTGGGTTTTTTTTTGCAGACCAACATTTTGTCCTTCTGGCATTTTTTTCCTCCGGAGTATGTACTGTAGTCATTTGACCTTCAAATAGCAAATGACGAGCGAGTTAAATATTTCTCTTTCTCAAACGGCGGCTGAGAGAAGATTGGACAAAGGTCAAGTAGAGCGCGGACCAATCTTTAGTCCTCGGTTATAAATGCACTCCTACATTCTCCAACTTGTTCAACACGTTTTTTTTCCTTGGCCTTCTTCAAGTGCATACAGTTTGCTTTGTGTGAGGCTTTGTGAGGATTTAGGCCCAAGACCAGCACTCGCCGGTCGTGTCGTATCACCTGCTCACTTCCTGCGTTTTTGCACCAGTTGTAGCATGAAAACGTTTTTCCACTTCAGCTGTGGCTTCTTCGCATGCTTCTGTGCAATTAGAGCAGGTCTGCAACCTTGGACAACACGCGAGTGACTTCCGCCCGCGGTGTACCCTCGCTCTTGTTCCCCGGTGCGACATTAACTTTGGATGCTCTTGGCAATCCAAGCCGAGGGAACGTTGCAATAACTACAAGGAAAACGTCTCCTTCTCCTGCCCTTTACGGAGAAAGGAAAAACACTTCTCCCGCTGAGATTCACGGCGTTGGGAAAACTTTTGTTGTATTCTTGGCCCTGGAAAACGATTGGGATCATATTCAGACCGCAAGTTCAGAACGCGGTCCACCCACTAAGCGATCTCTGGAGACTAGCGCCGTCCAAAACTACAGGTGGCTGGCAACGGCCTCAAAGCCACAGTGTAATCAGAGACGGATTCCACTTTTCTTAGGTTTTACTTCCTAAGCAAAAATAAAAAAAAAAATAAAAAAGGTCCTCTTTGACAAATTATACAGGGTGAAAATGTGAACTCTGTGCCCTTGTTATTTATTGGCAGATTGCAAAAAAAGTGTATACTGTTCAGGTCAGAAGTTTATATACACTGATCATGGGCATTAATGTCAGTGAATTTGGGCTTTTAATTGACTCAAACTGTTCCTTTTCCATATTGGAATTATTATACAATGCGTGCAGATGTTATCTTTCTTCTTTTTGAAGATTTTTTTTTCCTCCTAAGGTGATAGCATTTGATAAATCAGAAAAACAATGTTAACCCTTTCTGGGACAGCGGTTACTACAGTGGACAGTTTATCGTGTTATCAGGTTACAGGTGCAGGGAAAGGGTGGTTTTTAAAAAATGGTGCTTCCATTTTGCAGAGCACAATTTTCAGGCGACTAACAAAGTGTGAGCATCCTTGTTTAGTATCGGTGTCATAACATCGGAGCATTTTTCAAATTATTGATCCATTCCAATTTCCCTCCTGCTAGTCCATCTCTACTTAAATAACCCTCAAACTATTCAAGAACATATAGTACCGTACAAGCACATTTTTTGGGGGTGAGGGTTAATAAAAATAACAAAAATAATCAGTGTGTATACAATGTTAATGTGGTAAAAAAAAAATCTTAAAAAAAGGGTGGGGGCGGCTCTAAGTGACCCCCAAACTTTCAAAGACTTGTGTTATGATGGAACACTTTTGAACAGTAGTATTCATCTGCAAAGATTTTCGAAAAATGAAAATTGGGTGCACATGTTAGAACCGATGATGGATTTTCTTAGGCACACAAATAAATCTGTACTTTCATCTGAATTTTTCCATCAATGGAATGTCTCATTAATTACCCATTAGAGTCCAATTGACTGCAGCTGATAGTTAAAACGGTTTTGTTTGACAATCCTCATTGGATCGCACAACACTCCTCAACAAAGGGAAAAAAATCAAAGCAACTCACAGAGAGGATAATTGTTGGCCACTTCTTTTGGAACCATTTCTAAACAAAATGCCGATCCCACATCAATCACTTCACACAATTTGGAAGTCATCAGGAAGGCACCAGGCAGTGGTGAAGGCCCTCTTGGGATTGCTGTCTTTATCCTATTACGCTTCTGACCAATGAATCGCCTTTTAGGATGCCGCGACATCCCTGAAACATCAGCAATTGCGGCAAGCACATGGATCTCGGTGAAAACATATGTGAGTTAGTAATCCTACTTGGACTTTTCAAGAATCGGACTGAAGAACTTTACATCTGAGTTTGCACACTACAACCAAAAGGGGGCACCCGAACCTCGCCATCGTGAGGGGATTTTGTCACAAATTAGCCTTGTTAAGGTCAAAAAAAAGCCCTGGCATTTAGCAATCTGCTTGAGGCATGTGTGATGCCGCAAACGATGTGAAATGAAAGTGTGTGTGTGTGTGTGTGTGTGTGTGTGTGTGTGTGTGTGTGTGTGTGTGTGTGTGTGTGTGTGTGTGTGTGTGTGTGTTTATGCGTGCGCGCGTGCTCCGAATACGAATCTGCAGTGTTTCTTATGGTCCCGGTGTGAGCGTGCACTGATGAATGTGCATCCTCCAGACAGGGAGGTCACGGCTCTGTCAGTTTGATCAATATTGACACCGTGTGCGCGCGCGTGTGTGTGCATGTGTGCGACTTATTACATTGGGACATTGTATAAACATGCTGGATTTGAGTCTTGTGCGTTTTGGAGCATTTATACCAGCTCCTAGCTGGGTGTACATTTATTGAAGTACTTATCTGGTAATTGAGATGCAGTGATAGTTTTCAGTTGACATTAATGAGAGTCGGAATCAGTTGGAAGGCAATAAAAAAATTACATTAAACAGCGAGGATCACAAGCGTACATTTCGGTAACAGACTCTCCACGCTTTGCTTTTTCAACCACAGATACATGTGAAATTATAGAAGGAGTTAAGTATTATTGTCAGATTTTGGGAGTTCATTCAACTCCTTCGTATGGCCAAACTTGAAGACGCAATGACGTTCCTCCACAGTTCAAATTACAAACCAAGTGGCCAACAGTCGGCTGATGAAAATTAGCGGCGGAACCCGGCACGCTGCGCGATAGTTCCATGCAATGACGTTTCTCCACAGTTCAAATTACAAACAAGTGGCCAACAGTCGGCTGATGAAAACTAGCGGCGGAACCCGGCACGCTGCGCGATAGTTCCAGTGCGCGGCGAGCTTCACTCGTAAGCAGCTAGCTATGTAGCATCAGAAGCGAATACACCAGTCAATCGTCACTCAAGGTGTTCCATCTTCAAACACCGAAACTCAAATGCAGCACGCCTGTCGGAATGAAAGTCCCTTGTTCACAAAACGTTGAGAAGCCTGTAAAGCCAACTGAAAGTAAAAACCTGAAAGAAATAAAAACTGTCAAAGGTTTCTGGTTTCTGGGCAATTCCCTGTTAATGAAGTGCGGCAACATAATAAAAATGCATCAAGACATACTGGTCTGGAATGATGTGACATTGTGTGTCTGTGTTTGTGTGCAGCACCAGCAACAGGTGGTCCAAGCAGTGGAGCGGGCCAAGCAGGTCACCATGGCTGAACTCAATGCCATCATCGGGGTGAGTCACCTCCACACGCAAACACAATAACATCCAAGGATGTTTCAATTTTTTTTTTTCTCAGTCAAGACGTTTTAATGCATGTGGTTTTCTAACCATTTCTGCCCCATTTTCGCACATCATGCTCGATGGAGAGTGTTTCAGCGGAGGAGCAATTTGTCCTCCTGCTGTAATTTTGCTGGTATGCTATTTTGGCTACTAATGCTCTTTTAAAAGTATCACATTGAAGAAGGTGGCATGGTCTCTCTTCACATCCAAATCTTATTCAATTTTTTTTTTTTTTACCTGATCTCCACGTGTTCATTTTTTTTCCCCCCTATTTATTTTTCCCATGACGGTTATAAGGAAGCGTAAATTATTCATGGCTATTTCTTGATTTAAGGAGGTCGGCTGTAGCGGCACACGGTGGCGTTCGCCATTAACGTGACGTGCGAACAAGTTAAGTGTGTCAGCTTCAATATAGGCAAAGAAAAAAAAAAGAAACAAATGGAACTTATTTTACTGATTCACGTTCACGGAATGAGTTGGACGATAAGTTCACTTCATACCAAGTCGTGTCATGCAGTTACCTCATTTAGTGGGCGGTCTACAGCAAGTCAAAAGTAACACAAAATAGTCCGGAAATGCAAAATAAAGCAAATTATTGCAACATCTGTGCTTGCACTTGCCACGTGTGCATTTGGCTGAGTGTCGGCTCCTTTTTGTACAATACACTTTAATGAAAAATTCTTAGCTTTAATTTGGAAACCAGAACGAACTGGAGATGCATTTAAATTATTCAAGTGTCAGCACCAAAAGTTGCCCTGGTTTTCAGCTTGTCCCATCAGGGGTTTCCACAGCAAATAGTTGTGAGAATCGTTTGGCACAGATTTATTTCTTTATTTATTTTAGAGTGAAAAGTAATTTACCTTCCAAATGATATTGTCATCCACAGAGATTTATTGCGTTTTTTTTTTTTTTTTGCCTTCTTACACCACAAACCCTAAAATCTAACTGGCATGTCTGCTTTAGAGTGACTCATTGTCAGCCATGAGTGCACGAACATCATGCAGAGAAAGGCGGAAGAGCCACTCGACAGCTAGTGAGTAGACTGGGGGTTTTGAACTTCCGTGGTCGCTTTAGAGTGCCTCGTTGTTGTGGCCATGAAAAAGCCCTTTGACAACCCACTGCCACCGGAGGATTTCAGAGAATATATTTTCAAAAAATGTTTGTCACACATGTAGTTATGTGGCTGGCAACACAAAAAAAAAATTTAATCATTTAAATTTGGTAAGTTTGTTAACAATTCTTCTCTGTGGTGTGTTAAATTAAGAAGGCTTTACAGGGACTTCAGTAATAAATTCCTCATTTCTTTTTTTTCCCCCTTGTTTTTGAAGTGAGGTTTTTGCAGGGATCGCTGTTGTTTTTTTTTCTTCTACTCTTCCATCATTCTTCTGTTCCTGTAATTTTCTCCCTTCTCTGCCCTTAATCAACATCCCTCCATCACATTCCTCCCCCCACACCATCAATCGCATAATTTCCCCACTCTTGTCTGCCTTCGGCTGTTTTATTCTGAACACATTAATTGTTTTCTGATCTTATATTGTCAAATCTCGCCCGGCCTGATGGTCATTTCCTCCTCTTTTGCCTTCCCTCATGTTTGCTGATGATTCAATTTCCTACTTTTCCTTCTTGACTTTTTATCCACCATGTCGACCTCCTAATCCCCTAATCTCTCCGCTATGCTATCAACTTCCCTTTTTATGATTTCCTCTCTCACACTTCATTGTGACCACCTTCTTTTCTTCCTTCCTAATAATCTCCCCGCACCCCCACCCGCCTCCCCCGCCCCCCTTTTCTTTCCCCTGTGGCCACAGCAGCAGCAGCTCCAGCACCTGTCGCACCACGCCCCGGGTATCCCCCTCACGCCGCACCCGTCCGGCTTGTCTTTGGGCGCGGGGGGCTCCGGGCTCCTGGCGCTGACGGGGGCCTTAGGGGTGTCTGCCCACCTCGCTGCCAAGGACGAGCGCAATCACCTTGACCCGGAACATCTCAGAGGTATTGAAGCAGTACAGCATGCATGTGATGGTCTTTATTTGCTCCAGTATAAATATGTAATAATATGAATGTGCCAAGCTTCAATTCAATTACGCTGCTTCTTCTGCGGCGTGCATCTTGACCACCTGGGGGCAGTCTGATACAGACAAACAGATATACTGTACATGGAGACTGTTACAGCGACTCAGTGGTCCACAATAATGTTAGCTGATCTGTGCAGAGGATAAAGAATGTACACCTCCAAGTATTGTTACATTTTCTGTCTACAAGTGTTGCTCCACAGTTGGTATTCGGAACTCCCTGACTTAAAGGGTTTTAATACCATAACGCCAATGTTATTCAATAGCCGTCTTTAATGTTTGCTATTGTTTGTTAGCATTAAGATGAATGAGCATTCCTAGGTCAAACCTCTGCGGTTGTTTGAAATACACAACCTTTCATTGTCATGTTCTTCATGTTAAGTAAGACAGTACACTTCAACTGTCAATGATCAAAATTGAAGCGAGTGCGCTACGGCTGCCATGCGGACCTCATTTGAACTATTATAGACTGCTGGCACTGCGTGGACAGAAGCCTGTACGCATGAACTTTCCTTCACCTCCCCAGCGCAGCTTATCTGTTTCAGGCACAGCGCCAAGAGACTTGTGAATAAAGGCTGGGATGGAAAGATGTATTGGGAAAAAAAAAGGAGGAGAAAGAGAGCTGTTTGCGTTCATTCAGTATTTGCAGATTACGCATCTTTGCCAATGTTGTGCGGTCAGAAAGACTGGAGATAGCGAGACCGTTTTTAACAAGAGGCGCTGTCCTAACCTTGGCTGACTGCTGTTGCCAACATCAGCACTGACGTCAAGCTTTTTTCTCCTCATCCCTCTTATCTTACTTTTTTTTTTCTCTCCTTTTCATGCTGTCCCCGCCCAATCCCAGAAGGAGCACCCAGCCGGGTAAGTAGTTGTGTGCGCGTGTGTGATTAATAAAGCAAGTGAAATCCACAAGCACAGCAAAGTGTGTGTTGTAACAGCTGTTCATCACTCCTCCACGCCGACGAGTCCAACCCAATGTACATTTTGTCCAGGATGAACAGTTTACAACGGTGTGCTCACCAGCTGCAGGGTTTTTTTTTTTGGTTTTTTGGATGCATTCTCATGGTCAGATGTGTATATACCATCAAATTTAGATAAGATGAGAGAGAGAGAGAGAGAGAGAGAGAGGGAGACAAGGGAGGTGAGATACAAATGTATCTCATTCATTCTCCCCAGAAAACACAATACATTTTTTTAACCCTTTCAGGGACAGCAGTTGCCACAGTGGACAACTTATCATGTTATCAGGTTACAGGGTGCATGAAAGGGTTCTAAATAAGGGGAAAAAATGCACTTCATAATAATTTACTTGACATATTAATCAGAATCATGTATCAGTAATTCATTGCACCTCCTTTTGGTTTTATGTGAGTTGGCCACAGGGGGGCAGTATCAAACAGTCATGCAGATAGAAAAGGAAAAGCGTCACAACTACTGTAAGTGACTCTCAGTGCAGTAATATTAATCACTTCGAGAGGATAAAGAATATATGCTTGCAGGTATTGTACGATTGTTTTGTCTGCATCTGTACATGTCAATTGTTTTTTTGACTTGAGTTTGCTGCCACCATCTCGTGCTCCTATCTCATTTTTTTGCTCAACAGTCAAAGCAAAAAAAAAAAAAAAAAAAGTCACAGCTTGTATGTTGGAAAAAAAGTTGGGTCAGTCATATCTCAAGGCACCACAATGTTTCATTTCAGGTTTTGGTTAAAAATCATGCTGGGCTTGCAAAGGTGTGTTTATTAGTTTGTAAAATCCCTCAAAATGGTCGTTTATTTTGGGCAAAGAAGAGCAAAACAATTTCAAGAGAGCGCAGTGTTGCGTAGGCCGACCCTCCGCAACGCTTTTTATATCAAATCAGGAAAGCCTTCAGCTCCCTTGACACGGAGCTGCAGTCTAACTCTGAGCATAAGTTAATTGCTAAATACACAGTGTTGACTTGAAAGCAGCGATAGAGACAATCCTCTCAGGAAACCGAGAATGAGGAGATCAATTAACATTTGAGTTGAACATGGAGGGCAGTTGCGCTCCTTTGTGTTATTCCTCCTCTCCTCCTTCCTGTCCTCCCAGTGAGCTCCTTCCTTGACTATGATGCACCTCCCCACAGGGGGGGAGGGGGCAGAGATAGAAGGCCCCCTCACTTAATGAACCCCGGCTGCCCAAACAACCCGACGCTTTGATCGGCTCTTCTGAGTGTGCTGTATTGTAAATACGCCTGCGTGGACTCTTAACGGCATCATCTTGAGAGCTGTGTTTCACGCAAGGTTTGACATGTAAAGGCCACACAACTTGAGGGGGGCTGTGGGGGTGCACAGGGGATTTAACATACTCCAAAAACTTTGGAATCATCAATTACAAAAAAAAATGTCAAGGACTTGTATGAACAGGATGTCGTCCAGTTTGGTTCAAAGTGATTTTGGGCCGGCCCCAAGATACACACTCGAACCAACTCCTCCAAGGAATTTCAGCTGGTTGAGCCCGAGATAGAATTGATGAGTTGTGCCAAATTTGACCTGACTGCAAAATATGAAGGTGGGGCCTTTGATGAGTCGCCTTGCGGCTCGTAACTTCAAACAACGTCAAAAAGGCGGCGTTTATCCCGTAACTGTCCTCGTTCCGCCCGCTCATGACTGCAAAACTCCTGTCGAAGACTGCGTTGCACCTTCAATTTCTCCTTATCTCCCACTCCAGAGTAAGTCTGAGTCGTCAACAGACAGCCAGCCCCCGGAAGAGCGTCAGGGGCCATCGGGCGGCTACGCCTCCTCGCAGGGGGGAGCTGAGGCCAAGAGGAGACGCTGCGATGACAAAGAACCCCTCGCGCCGCACTCATACGTACGTGCTTATTTTCCTGTGTACTGTGCGTAAATGCTCGAAGGTCATTTTAATGACTCGTTTGTATCACGTGCATATTTATTTGCCCACTCAGTGATGTCACGACCGTTTCATTTAAGCGAGTACTATCGATGAGCCTCATGAAAAGGAATGCAACTGTTTATGGAACATGGGGTCATGATTGTGTCCACGCTACATCAGTAATGCCGGTGCTTGATAATGATTTCTGATTTCGGTACTTTGCCAACTTCTTGTGGCAGCTATACAAAATCAGAAAACTATTTCAGAGTGAGGTGTGTGTGTGTGTGTGTGTGTGTGTGTGTGTGTGTGTGTGTGTGTGTGTGTGTGTGTGTATGTGTGTGTGTGTGTGTGTGTGTGTGTGTGAGTGAAACATTTCCCTTGACAGTGTCGTCCACATGGGGGTGGTGTCAGGGTGCCTGACGGCCAATTAGAGCTTAGCTTGGGGTGGATGAACTATCCGAGGTTGTGTGTGTGTCTGTGCGTGTGTGTGTCTGTGTGTGTTTTCAGTATGCAGGGCTGATTGACACTTTTCGTGCTACTACCGCGGTGACCTAAGTGCATCTCCATTGCTTGTCCTCCTTTCATCACTTCTCCTTTTCATTTTTCTTCATCCTCACATTTTTTTTTTCATTCCCCCTACAGCTCGCCGTTTTTTCTGTTTCAATTTGAGGGCATGGCTGCAGAATTCGCCTCTGCATTAATTAGGTGATGATGTCACTCGTCACTGATGTCAATGAGGACTCTCGGGCCGCCGATGGTATCAAAGCTCTGTCGCCATGGCAACTAAGTGCCATCATTCTCGCCCCAGAAAGTAGGGACAAAAACGGAAAGAGAGAGAGAGTGGAAGATGTCTCGTGGAAAGTAGACCAAAAAAAAAAAAATGGGGGCTGATGGAGAAAGAGCAACATGTGTGTGCGCACAATCAATAGAGTGCTTGTGTGACAGCAGATGTTTGGTGCAGAGTGTCTCCGTGTCCAAGCGGTGGACTGGCAGTGGAGGGAAGCAAAGTGTGTACAGAGATATTGACATATCGATCGGCGTTTGTGTGTGTGTGTGTGTGTGTGTGTGTGTGTGTGTGTGTGTGTGTGTGTGTGTGTGTGTGTGTGTGTGTGTGTGTGTGTGTGTAAAAAAAAAAGCTCATTCGGTGTGATCAAAGCTTTCTGTGGACGCAGAAGTCTCTTGTGTGTCTACGGGGAAAACTAATAGCAAATATTGGTGTATTTGCTTGCTTGCAGGACAGCGATGGAGACAAAAGCGAAGACAATCTGGTCGTGGACGTATCCAATGAGGTTGGTTCCCCGTCTCGGTGTTTACTAACTTTTATTGGGCCATTACATCAGGATGATTTGACTGCACACCACTTAAGAAAAATGCCATAAAAAAATTTTTAAAAAAAGTATGTACCGTATTTTCCACACTAAAAGGCGCACTGGATTATGATGCGCACCTTCAATGAATGGCTTATTTTGTCATTTTTTTCATACATTGGGCGCACCGCTTTATAAGACGCAATCTACAATGCATCCACTAGATGGAGCTACGCGCAAGGAAACGGCAACAGAACGATCAGATGTCAGTCAAACTTATTTCATAAAGCAGCGACACAGTTCACTTAGCCAACAGCAAGTCGTAACATGGACTCGTTAACGAACTCTCTTGCCGCTGCTCGATTTCCGTGTTCAACTGTGTCACCGATCGCTTTAAGTTTGAAGTGTAATTGGATAACCGGGCACATAATCAAATCACGTGCGGTGTGAGTTTTGACCGTAACAAGGACACAAGTCACAGACGGGATCCGTGCGCATCAACTTGCGTCGGCAGGCCACGAACATGAATAACACAATGATGGCGCGAGCGGGGGGAATAAACACGGACGCCCCGATTGGATCGAGCAGCCTCGGCCGTCAATCATCGCGGTGCGTCAAGCTTACCATTGCGCGCTCACTCTTCGTTTGACCTTCAGGCGTCTAAATGTGAAATGTCACCACTCGCGTGACTTTGTTCGAGCGGACGATTCCGTAAATATTTTGTGAGGGCAATTCCATTCCACCCTAAGCAGGCTTATTTGTAGCCTGCTTAGGGTGGAATGGAATTCATCAGCGTCGCCGTATTCGTCATTTATCCTGATTGGTGTTTTTCCATAACGGCACTCGAATACATTTCTGACGCCGCTAATTAATTCCATCATGAATTCATGTGACGCAAAATGACATTTGTTGTTCCGTGAAATTACAAGCGTTCGATCCCCATGTGCGGTTCTTTGTTTGTGCAAAAAAAAATAATAATAATAATGAGCATTGATTTGAATTCTCTTTGGCCAGCTTCATATTTCATCTTTTACGTGTGATCACCTCGTGTGTGTGTGTGTGTGTGTGTGTGTGTGTGTGTGTGTGTGTGTGTGTGTGTGTGTGTGTGTGTGTGTGTGTGTGTGTGCGTGTGAACGAATAAGCGGGTCTGCTGCATTTTCCTCGTAAGTCTGGTGAGAGCTCCTCTGTCAGGCTGTTATCAACAAGCGCAGTGTTTGCCTTGTGGACCATGTACGTGCTCCTCGTCACACCTTTTTATGTGTGCGCCAGGATTCCTTTTGAAATTGCGACCATTTTCTATTACTAAATCGCCCTTTAGGGGGGACTTAAAAAAAAAAAAAAACCTAAAACACAGCAAAGTTGTTAGGAAGAAAATGTGAACTGAGCATCACCTCTGTTCCTCTAATTAACTTAAAATAGCAAAGCTACAAAAAAACAAAACAAAACAAAAGTCGCATTGAAGAGGTGATTTTTGCTCCCGGATTTGTTTTAATCCAAAGCAATGTAATCCCTTACTGATTTTGTTTTTTTTTTCTTTTGAGTATTTTGTATTTGTCCACCAAATGGTGCTTCTTCTTCTTCACCATCCAAACAATGCAGCAAAATTCTCACCTTTGACTGTTTTCCGTTCACATCCTTCACTACTGACTGTTGAAGGCGCATGCATCCGATCTGCATCTTTTCTTGCTTCCTTATATTTCCCATCATCCCCTCCTCCCCTTCTCATTACAGTCTGCTTCATCCAACTAATCCTTAAAACGCATCCTCCAGCGAGCAAAATGTTGTGTTTTTATCTAAAACCTCTGAATTTTCATTTGACTCAATAAAGCACAAGTGCTCCCTTGTTGGCATCCGGCACAGAAGCAGACAATTGTGTGTAATAACAGGCAGAGGGAGGGGGCTTCTCTGCTCCGCCGTGTGTGTGTGTGTGTGTGTGTGTGTGTGTGTGTGTGTGTGTGTGTGTGTGTGTGTGTGTGTGTGTGTGTGTGTGTGTGTGCACTGTAATTGCTGACCCGGTGAGAAGTGCTAAGTCAAGCACAAGGCGGGGAGGGGAGCCAGCAGGATTTTCAGCAAAAGTGATGAAGGCTTCCTGGAATAGCCAACATCATCATCATCATCATCGTCATCATCGTCATCTATTTTGGACACGAGGACAATATGTGCTGTTGTGCGCATCCGAGTCGCCATACATCTTCATATATGCCGAGTCACCTGAAATCTTATTTTGGTCACCGTGGTGTTAACATGTATTTTATTTTATTTATTTTTTTATGTATTTATCTATCTATTGATTGATTGATTGATTGGCTGGTTCTGCAGCTTTATGCAGATGTTGAAATCAAGCCCTATTTTGTACCATTCATTGTTCAACTTTATCTACGTTGGGTTAATAACGCCGGTTAACATTTTTTCCCGCTATTTACAACATTACCGGTATTTATAATGTTTTGAATCAGAAATGCCGCCATTTTTTTCCCACGTCAAGACACGAATCAGCCAAGCCGTAGCTCATATCTTGGGGGAAAGAAAATCGCAAGTTGGATCCAGTCAACTTGTGGAATCAAGCGTGTTAACCGTTTCAGGGACAGCGGTTACTCGAGTGGACATCGATTCACATGTTGTTTTCTCTCATATTAATTCATCTTAATGTCGCAGTTGTGCATCAACCACTACAGTGGACCCTTATATGTGTTGCCATCCACTGGCATTATTGTTTTTTTTTTTTTCATGCCAAAAGACTAATAAAAACACTTGGGGAAAAAAATCCTGGTGTAGGTTATTATTATTTGTGCATGAAAGGGTTCACTACTCGCTTGTACCAATAATTCAGTCTTTCTATTGTTCTGATTCAGGAGCCCAACTCCCCTGGAGGCAGTCCACCTCATTCTCCCCGTGGGAACGGTTTGGACCGGGGCCCCGCCTTAAAGAAAGAGCTCCCGGGATCCTCGGGCCCTGCAGAGGCCCCCCCTACCCCGAACCCGTGTAGTCCCGCTCCAGGCAAGGCAAAGGACCCGACACAGGCAAGATACGAACCACATCCTGACTGCAACCAAAAATTAAAAATAAATAAAACCTCACTCACTTGTGACTGCCGTTCCACTTTCATATTCCAAACAAACGAAGCGCCGAATGAAATCATCACCCGAAGGAATATATCAGATTTCATTTTCTTTTAGGCTCAGGAGACCTTGTACGCTGTCCATTCCTGGATAGCTCGTATCAAGATCCGACCTGTATACTACAACAGTCCCCCCCTAAATTCCCAACGTATTCCAGTTAACCCTTTCACGCACCAATAATGATAACCTGATCACAACTGTCGTAACCGCTGTCCCTCAAAGGGTTCATATGACATTCTGACATCCACAGATGGATAAGTCCCAGTCGCCCTTGTCCAAGTCCAGTACCCCATCGCCATCTCACCGCGAGGCCCTCACTCCCGGAGCGCCCGGTCCCAGCACTTCCTGCCTTCGCCTGGTCAGCAAAGCCGCGTCTGCTGCGGACCCCCTCGGTGAGACTTGCTTTGCCTTCCGTGTTACAGCTTGAATTGTGGAACTCAATAAATAATAATATGGTGGAAGATGGCCGACATGTTTTAGTTGCACTTACGCTAGGGTGCCTGATACGACGGTGTAAGCAGGCCTCGTCATTTCTTGCGGATTTGGAATGATAAAAAAAACAAACATCGATAATATTAGTATTTTGATTGAGTTGATTTTTGTGAGGGAAAAAATGTAGTTCTTGCACTTTATGTCGGTTTCTTGTTTAGCAGTTTTGTGCCGTCCTTGAATGTTTTTTTTTTTTTTGCAAGAAATCCCTTTGCACTGGGAAAAAAAAGTACTATTGGTAGTTACTTTGCTGTTTTTGTGAACCCCTTTTTTGGGATGGTGGATCTTTTATACATGCATTGAAAAATATCTAATCAAAAATGAAATAGATTAAATAAAAGTAAAGGCCTAAAATGAGACTGCCTGCAGTCGACTTATTTTTATTCACATTATTACTCAGTTATGCTGTTAAATGTCATGCTAATTTCCAATCTTAAATGATATTAAAAATGAATATAGTGAACCCCTGCTTATTCGAGGTTAGGTTTTTTTTCTGGTAATATACTAAGATGCAAAACCCTGCCTCACGGGAAAGGAGTAAATGGTGTTGAGGAAGTATGGCTAAGTTGAAGGACAGTATCAAAAAAATGACATTTCAAATGTTGCGAAATGTTTGATCTCATATTCGGACGTATATTTTCTGTTGGAACAATAAACAGGCAGTTTGTGTTCCTCTCAGCCCTGCTGTGACCGTGCTTGTGTGTTCTGTGTTGTTGTCGTCGTCCCTCTTTTTTTTTTCCTCTCCTCTCCTTCTTCTCCTCACTTTGCCAGCACTCCGCAGCCCCATATCTGTGCCCCCCGGTTCATACCCGGCTCATTTTGGCGTGGTGTCCCACGCAGGGCTCAACGGCGAGCTGGCCAGTCCCGGAGGCTTCGGCGGGGCTCTGACTCTCTCGCCCCAAATCAGCGCAGCGGCCAGCGCCTACGCCCGAAGCCCCATGGTGAGCCGCCTCATTTCTTTTGATTTCGAATATCTGATGTTAGCCTCTCAAAGGTTGAGTCGCATTCATCAAGAAGTCCCTTTTTATACTCTCTTGCATGACGGAATGCTAATGTTACAATAAGAGCTCCTACAAAAACATAACGCATCTTTCCACATAATTTAGTCACTCGAATTCCTTTTTTTTTTGTTTGTTTTTGTTTTTATCCTTCCACCCACCAGATGGCTTATGACTCTCGGTCTCACCTGAGGGCCCCAAGCCTGTCGACCTCTCTGCCTGGCTCGTCCGGGGGCAAGCCGTGAGTTGTTTTGTTTCGTTTTTTTTTACACACCCACACAGTCGTCAAGAGTTCAATCAAAATGATGCCCCCCCTCCGTCACATTACTGTAATCACTCGCTTCCCAACAAGTAGCATTACGTGGGCCCGGAAAGGCTTCAAGCTGTTTAATGCCTGGTCAAAAAACAGTTTGGAGCGATAAATCAAGGGACCGTTGAAGATCCCATTCCATGCATCTAAGATTCGTAATCTCTCTTCTTGATTCATCAGTTTTATCGCCATTCATGGTTATGATTCACGTCAATTGCCCGTGACGAGCACCTCCTCGGATATGGATCCTTCATCGGCGCTGCCACACTGCGACGTTATGTTAGCACGCCCATTGCAGCGACCATGTGTGTGCATGTTGCCGCAAAACCCCACAGCCTCTCTTAATTTCTCATTTATGGATTTATAATATTTAATCTTGCTACATATATAACTGCTGTTGCAATGTTTCATCACTTCCTCCCGGGTGTTTTGTTGCCCCCGCACAGGGCTTACTCGTTCCACGTGAGCGCGGACGGGCAGATGCAGCCGGTGCCCTTCCCCCCGGACGCCCTGCTGGGGCCGGGCATCCCTCGCCACGCGCGGCAGATCCACAGCCTGAGCCACGGCGAGGTGGTGTGCGCCGTCACCATCAGCACGTCCACGCGCCACGTCTACACGGGGGGCAAAGGCTGCGTCAAGGTCTGGGACATCAGCCAGCCGGGCAGCAAGAGTCCCATGGCGCAGCTCGACTGCCTGGTCCGTCCTCTTTCCGCGTCTTTACAAAACACATCATATTAAGAAATGTAAAATGATTCTAATGACCTTCCTTCCGAAAATGTGTACTGAAAAAAAGGTATACTAGCACATTTATTGTATATACCGTGTGAAAAAGTTGATCATGTGATGTTCCGTCCTTCTTTTGTCCCTTCAGAACCGCGACAACTATATCCGCTCCTGTAAGATCCTACCCGACGGGCGCACGCTGATCGTGGGCGGCGAGGCCAGCACGCTGTCCATCTGGGACCTGGCCACGCCCACCCCTCGCATCAAAGCCGAGCTGACGTCCTCGGCGCCCGCCTGCTACGCGCTGGCCATCTCGCCCGACAACAAGGTGTGCTTCTCCTGCTGCAGCGACGGCAACATCGTCGTCTGGGACCTGCACAACCAGACGCTCGTCAGGTAACCGCGCCCATGCCTCGCCTCTGGAAACCGAGAACGAATTTTTGCCCGTATCGAATGCGTTTGTCGTTGCCACAGACAGTTCCAGGGCCACACGGACGGAGCGAGCTGCATCGACATTTCCAACGACGGCACCAAGCTGTGGACGGGGGGGCTGGACAACACCGTGCGCTGCTGGGACCTGAGGGAAGGGCGGCAGCTGCAGCAGCACGACTTCACCTCGCAGGTAACCGCTCACGAGCGCATACGCCGTGCATATCTGTCAACTATCGAGCAGTGTGTCCCACGCTGCTTTGCTCTGGCAGCGTTCTATTTTACATGGTTGTCTGTCATATCACAAAACAGATGGCCGCCGAATATTTTTTATATTCATGTGATCAAAGATCGGAAAAAAAAAACCAAGATTATTCTTGCAAGAAGGGGAGAAATTGCAGAGTAGCAGATACGAATGCAGGAAGATGATCTTGATCACGCCAGTCACTACGAACACACAAATGTTGACAGTTCCTTGGGAGAGAGGGTGCAAAATCAGCCACCTATCGCTTCATCACGTTGAGACATTTCATTCTTCAAATCTATATTTTTGAAATGGATCGTTTTTTTTCTCGTAATCCAAGAAAAATAGAATTTTGATGATCAAATGTGTCCCCTGAGATCAAGCTCAAACGTTACCTCGCACACAATCAGCGGGCGTGGAAGCAAAGTGTGTCGATACGAAGACAAAAGACCGAAATGGGAGACGTCAGGAAATGAGGGACGAGGGTGAGACGAAGATAAGCTTGATGAAAGACGGGCCACCGTGACATGGCGAGGAAAACAATGCAGGGGAGAGAGAAATATGAGCGATCCCTCCGAGATAAGGAATGAGCACGATAAGAATGTTCCGCACAATGGATGGCAAAGTCACAGGCAAGGCTTTTTCAGATCTTCTCGCTGGGTTACTGTCCGACGGGCGAGTGGCTGGCGGTGGGGATGGAGAGCAGCAACGTGGAAGTGCTCCACGTGTCCAAGCCCGACAAGTACCAGCTGCACCTTCACGAGAGCTGCGTGCTCTCGCTCAAGTTCGCCTACTGCGGTGAGCGCCTCCGCCAAGCGTGCATGCGGCGCAAACGTTCTCCACAAATCAAATCACCTGTTGATGTCCTCTTCGTATACCCGACTTCGAAACCCTCATCTTACATCCAGCTGGGTCCCTGTGTTTTACCTTGAGTGGCGTTGTCTGTTTGCTTCCAGGCAAGTGGTTTGTGAGCACGGGCAAAGACAACCTGCTGAATGCGTGGAGGACCCCGTATGGTGCCAGCATCTTTCAGGTGACTTTACAATTTCTCCAAGCGGGAAAGCAAGACGAGTGCTGGTACAGACAATGTGTGTGTGTGTGTGTGTGTGTGTGTGTGTGTGTGTGTGTGTGTGTGTGTGTGTGTGTGTGTGTGTGTATCATGTGATTGAATTGCAAATGCATCTTGTGTAATTGATGAGTCACAGTCTCTCTCTCTCTCTGTCTCTGTCTCTGTCTCTGTGGGTGTTTCTTGTCCTCGTCCAGTCCAAGGAGTCGTCATCAGTGCTGAGCTGCGACGTATCCCCAGACGACAAGTACATCGTGACAGGCTCGGGGGACAAGAAGGCCACCGTGTACGAGGTGGTCTACTGAGAGGGCGGACAAATTTGGTTGCCTTGACAACCGATCACCCATCCCATACCGTGGAAGTCTGTCTCCGTACCATACTTTGAAAAGCAAGAGCGGGCAGAGAATGACACTGCTCGTGAAAAAAAAAAAAGGGATTTCGGGGGGGGATTTTTATTTTTTTTTGGTCTTATGGTAAAACTAAATAAATAATTCAAAGGCTAACATACCCAATTTGTGCTCGTGGACGATACCCACCAGACCACACGCCTGACAGGCATGCATCCAATACAAATACTACAGTATGAACTCATTATACTTGATTTCATCTCATCTTTTTTTTAAGTTGACCTGAAAAAGTTATGATGCATTTTAGGTTCATATTAAAATTTTACCCGAAATCTCAACATCACAAACTTTTTGTCAGGATTGTATCCACTAATGTGTGTGTGCAGGCTGAACGAGAGGGGGGAGGGGAGGGGGGGACGGAGGGAAATGTAAATGAAAAGGAGTCGGCTGCCTAATGAGGACTGTTTCCTAATTAAGAGCTCAGCAGAGGAAGCGAAGCCCCTCCCCTTACCAGCTCCCCCAAGACAAGCACTGATAGAGCAGACTGTCGATTCATTAGGCGCACGCATACTCACGGGAGGCTGTAATGAGGCCCACGCCACGCCGCCGCACGCTCTACCCGCCGAGAGGTGTCACGAGCTCGGGGAAGCTCCCACGTCACCCAGGGAGGGATGCAACGGGGGTACACGACTACCCGGCTTCCCCTGCTTATTATTCTTATCTTTTATTTCTAATGAGCAACACTGTCTTCTTCTGACAGCCAACAGAGGGCCTCACTGGTGTGCCCTCCCCCAACTCGTACACTCCCTCCACACGCCTCCTTTCAAATGTTGCACAACATGTGTCGATTTTGCATCCGTACCATTGACAATGTTGTACTTCTTTCCAGGCTCTTCTCTCCATTTCATTTTGAATGTCTGTCTGAAATATGTATTCAAGGTTGCCTGTAACAAATGTGTCAAAATGCAACGTGACTTTTTTTAAGCCTCCTAATAAAGTTTGACAGGCAGCATCAACAAAGCCACTTGCCCTTCAAGTGGTTTCCAGTGTGCTTCATCGTCTTCATTTCTTTCACGAAAACCTGGCCAGACTTTGTACAAAATGGCTGAAGGCAGAACCACTTTTGACATGACCAAATTTACAGAGGGAAATAATGAAAGTTCGAAATAATCTCAACAGGGTTCCCACAGGTCCTTAAAGTTCATCAAAATCCATAAAAAAGTTGTAAAGTTATGTTCTTAACTTTCAGGGAAAGCTTTTGAAATAAAAAAAAATCCTTAAAAATTAACTTGTCATTTCATTTGTGTATGTCATTTTCGGAAAATGTGAATAGTTTTGTCGGAAAATGCGCCTGGCGCCCTTCCCCTCAAACCTCGCTGTCGGGCTACATGCCTGAAATAAAAGCAAGTGGAAGAGCAGGAACGTTGATCTACAAATGCAGCATTTGTAGAGAAGAGAGAGAAAAAAAGCGATAGAATAAAGAGAAAAAAAGAGTGAGAGAAAAAAAGCGATAGAATAAAGAGAAAAAAAGAGTGAGAGAAAAAAAGCGATAGAATAAAGAGAAAAAAAGAGTGAGAGAAAAAAAGCGATAGAATAAAGAGAAAAAAAGAGTGAGAGAAAAAAAGCGATAGAATAAAGAGAAAAAAAGAGTGAGAGAAAAAAAGCGATAGAATAAAGAGAAAAAAAGAGTGAGAGAAAAAAAGCGATAGAATAAAGAGAAAAAAAGAGTGAGAGAAAAAAAGCGATAGAATAAAGAGAAAAAAAGAGTGAGAGAAAAAAAGCGATAGAATAAAGAGAAAAAAAGAGTGAGAGAAAAAAAGCGATAGAATAAAGAGAAAAAAAGAGTGAGAGAAAAAAAGCGATAGAATAAAGAGAAAAAAAGAGTGAGAGAAAAAAAGCGATAGAATAAAGAGAAAAAAAGAGTGAGAGAAAAAAAGCGATAGAATAAAGAGAAAAAAAGAGTGAGAGAAAAAAAGCGATAGAATAAAGAGAAAAAAAGAGTGAGAGAAAAAAAGCGATAGAATAAAGAGAAAAAAAGAGTGAGAGAAAAAAAGCGATAGAATAAAGAGAAAAAAAGAGTGAGAGAAAAAAAGCGATAGAATAAAGAGAAAAAAAGAGTGAGAGAAAAAAAGCGATAGAATAAAGAGAAAAAAAGAGTGAGAGAAAAAAAGCGATAGAATAAAGAGAAAAAAAGAGTGAGAGAAAAAAAGCGATAGAATAAAGAGAAAAAAAGAGTGAGAGAAAAAAAGCGATAGAATAAAGAGAAAAAAAGAGTGAGAGAAAAAAAGCGATAGAATAAAGAGAAAAAAAGAGTGAGAGAAAAAAAGCGATAGAATAAAGAGAAAAAAAGAGTGAGAGAAAAAAAGAGAAAAAAAAGTTTTTTTCTCACTTTTTTTTCTCTTTTGTTTCTATCGCTTTTTTCTCTCACTCTTTTTTTTCTCTTTTTATACTATCGCTTTTTTCTCTCACTCTTTTCTCTTTTTTTCTCTTTTTATTCTATCGCTTTTTTCTCTCACTCTTTTTTTTCTCTTTTTATTCTATCGCTTTTTTTCTCTCTTTTATTGTATTGCTTTTTTTTCTCTCACTGTTTTTATTCTATTGCTTTTTTCTCTCTCTTTTTTTCTTTTTATTCTATCGCTTTTTTCTCTCACTCTTTTTTCTCTTTTTATTCTATCGCTTTTTTCTCTCACTCTTTTTTCTCTTTTTATTCTATCGCTTTTTTCTCTCACTCTTTTTTCTCTTTTTATTCTATCGCTTTTTTCTCTCACTCTTTTTTCTCTTTTTATTCTATCGCTTTTTTCTCTCACTCTTTTTTCTCTTTTTATTCTATCGCTTTTTTCTCTCACTCTTTTTTCTCTTTTTATTCTATCGCTTTTTTCTCTCACTCTTTTTTCTCTTTTTATTCTATCGCTTTTTTCTCTCACTCTTTTTTCTCTTTTTATTCTATCGCTTTTTTCTCTCACTCTTTTTTCTCTTTTTATTCTATCGCTTTTTTCTCTCACTCTTTTTTCTCTTTTTATTCTATCGCTTTTTTCTCTCACTCTTTTTTCTCTTTTTATTCTATCGCTTTTTTCTCTCACTCTTTTTTCTCTTTTTATTCTATCGCTTTTTTCTCTCACTCTTTTTTCTCTTTTTATTCTATCGCTTTTTTCTCTCACTCTTTTTTCTCTTTTTATTCTATCGCTTTTTTCTCTCACTCTTTTTTCTCTTTTTATTCTATCGCTTTTTTCTCTCACTCTTTTTTCTCTTTTTATTCTATCGCTTTTTTCTCTCACTCTTTTTTCTCTTTTTATTCTATCGCTTTTTTCTCTCACTCTTTTTTCTCTTTTTATTCTATCGCTTTTTTCTCTCACTCTTTTTTCTCTTTTTATTCTATCGCTTTTTTCTCTCACTCTTTTTTCTCTTTTTATTCTATCGCTTTTTTCTCTCACTCTTTTTTCTCTTTTTATTCTATCGCTTTTTTCTCTCACTCTTTTTTCTCTTTTTATTCTATCGCTTTTTTCTCTCACTCTTTTTTCTCTTTTTATTCTATCGCTTTTTTCTCTCACTCTTTTTTCTCTTTTTATTCTATCGCTTTTTTCTCTCACTCTTTTTTCTCTTTTTATTCTATCGCTTTTTTCTCTCACTCTTTTTTCTCTTTTTATTCTATCGCTTTTTTCTCTCACTCTTTTTTCTCTTTTTATTCTATCGCTTTTTTCTCTCACTCTTTTTTCTCTTTTTATTCTATCGCTTTTTTCTCTCACTCTTTTTTCTCTTTTTATTCTATCGCTTTTTTCTCTCACTCTTTTTTCTCTTTTTATTCTATCGCTTTTTTCTCTCACTCTTTTTTCTCTTTTTATTCTATCGCTTTTTTCTCTCACTCTTTTTTCTCTTTTTATTCTATCGCTTTTTTCTCTCACTCTTTTTTCTCTTTTTATTCTATCGCTTTTTTCTCTCACTCTTTTTTCTCTTTTTATTCTATCGCTTTTTTCTCTCACTCTTTTTTCTCTTTTTATTCTATCGCTTTTTTCTCTCACTCTTTTTTCTCTTTTTATTCTATCGCTTTTTTCTCTCACTCTTTTTTCTCTTTTTATTCTATCGCTTTTTTCTCTCACTCTTTTTTCTCTTTTTATTCTATCGCTTTTTTCTCTCACTCTTTTTTCTCTTTTTATTCTATCGCTTTTTTCTCTCACTCTTTTTTCTCTTTTTATTCTATCGCTTTTTTCTCTCACTCTTTTTTCTCTTTTTATTCTATCGCTTTTTTCTCTCACTCTTTTTTCTCTTTTTATTCTATCGCTTTTTTCTCTCACTCTTTTTTCTCTTTTTATTCTATCGCTTTTTTCTCTCACTCTTTTTTCTCTTTTTATTCTATCGCTTTTTTCTCTCACTCTTTTTTCTCTTTTTATTCTATCGCTTTTTTCTCTCACTCTTTTTTCTCTTTTTATTCTATCGCTTTTTTCTCTCACTCTTTTTTCTCTTTTTATTCTATCGCTTTTTTCTCTCACTCTTTTTTCTCTTTTTATTCTATCGCTTTTTTCTCTCACTCTTTTTTCTCTTTTTATTCTATCGCTTTTTTCTCTCACTCTTTTTTCTCTTTTTATTCTATCGCTTTTTTCTCTCACTCTTTTTTCTCTTTTTATTCTATCGCTTTTTTCTCTCACTCTTTTTTCTCTTTTTATTCTATCGCTTTTTTCTCTCACTCTTTTTTCTCTTTTTATTCTATCGCTTTTTTCTCTCACTCTTTTTTCTCTTTTTATTCTATCGCTTTTTTCTCTCACTCTTTTTTCTCTTTTTATTCTATCGCTTTTTTCTCTCACTCTTTTTTCTCTTTTTATTCTATCGCTTTTTTCTCTCACTCTTTTTTCTCTTTTTATTCTATCGCTTTTTTCTCTCACTCTTTTTTCTCTTTTTATTCTATCGCTTTTTTCTCTCACTCTTTTTTCTCTTTTTATTCTATCGCTTTTTTCTCTCACTCTTTTTTCTCTTTTTATTCTATCGCTTTTTTCTCTCACTCTTTTTTCTCTTTTTATTCTATCGCTTTTTTCTCTCACTCTTTTTTCTCTTTTTATTCTATCGCTTTTTTCTCTCACTCTTTTTTCTCTTTTTATTCTATCGCTTTTTTCTCTCACTCTTTTTTCTCTTTTTATTCTATCGCTTTTTTCTCTCACTCTTTTTTCTCTTTTTATTCTATCGCTTTTTTCTCTCACTCTTTTTTCTCTTTTTATTCTATCGCTTTTTTCTCTCACTCTTTTTTCTCTTTTTATTCTATCGCTTTTTTCTCTCACTCTTTTTTCTCTTTTTATTCTATCGCTTTTTTCTCTCACTCTTTTTTCTCTTTTTATTCTATCGCTTTTTTCTCTCACTCTTTTTTCTCTTTTTATTCTATCGCTTTTTTCTCTCACTCTTTTTTCTCTTTTTATTCTATCGCTTTTTTCTCTCACTCTTTTTTCTCTTTTTATTCTATCGCTTTTTTCTCTCACTCTTTTTTTCTCTTTTTATTCTATCGGTTTTTTTCTCTCTTTTTTTCTCTTTTTATTCGATCGTTTTTTTCTCTCTCTTTTATTCTATCGCTTTTTTTCTCTTTTTATTCCATCGCTTTTTTTCTCTCCCTCTTTTTATTCTATCGCTTTTTTCTCTCTCTCTTTTTTCTCTTTTAATTCTATTGCTTTTTTTCTCTCTCTTTTTTCTCTTATTATTCTAGCGCTTTTTTCTCTCTCTCTTTTTTCTCTTTTAATTCTATTGCTTTTTTTCTCTCTCTTTTTTCTCTTATTATTCTAGCGCTTTTTTCTCTCTCTCTTTTTTCTCTTTTAATTCTATTGCTTTTTTTCTCTCTCTTTTTTCTCTTATTATTCTAGCGCTTTTTTCTCTCTCTCTTTTTTCTCTTTTAATTCTATTGCTTTTTTTCTCTCTCTTTTTTCTCTTATTATTCTAGCGCTTTTTTCTCTCTCTCTTTTTTCTCTTTTAATTCTATTGCTTTTTTTCTCTCTCTTTTTTCTCTTATTATTCTAGCGCTTTTTTCTCTCTCTCTTTTTTCTCTTTTAATTCTATTGCTTTTTTTCTCTCTCTTTTTTCTCTTATTATTCTAGCGCTTTTTTCTCTCTCTCTTTTTTCTCTTTTAATTCTATTGCTTTTTTTCTCTCTCTTTTTTCTCTTATTATTCTAGCGCTTTTTTCTCTCTCTCTTTTTTCTCTTTTAATTCTATTGCTTTTTTTCTCTCTCTTTTTTCTCTTATTATTCTAGCGCTTTTTTCTCTCTCTCTTTTTTCTCTTTTAATTCTATTGCTTTTTTTCTCTCTCTTTTTTCTCTTATTATTCTAGCGCTTTTTTCTCTCTCTCTTTTTTCTCTTTTAATTCTATTGCTTTTTTTCTCTCTCTTTTTTCTCTTATTATTCTAGCGCTTTTTTCTCTCTCTCTTTTTTCTCTTTTAATTCTATTGCTTTTTTTCTCTCTCTTTTTTCTCTTATTATTCTAGCGCTTTTTTCTCTCTCTCTTTTTTCTCTTTTAATTCTATTGCTTTTTTTCTCTCTCTTTTTTCTCTTATTATTCTAGCGCTTTTTTCTCTCTCTCTTTTTTCTCTTTTAATTCTATTGCTTTTTTTCTCTCTCTTTTTTCTCTTATTATTCTAGCGCTTTTTTCTCTCTCTCTTTTTTCTCTTTTAATTCTATTGCTTTTTTTCTCTCTCTTTTTTCTCTTATTATTCTAGCGCTTTTTTCTCTCTCTCTTTTTTCTCTTTTAATTCTATTGCTTTTTTTCTCTCTCTTTTTTCTCTTATTATTCTAGCGCTTTTTTCTCTCTCTCTTTTTTCTCTTTTAATTCTATTGCTTTTTTTCTCTCTCTTTTTTCTCTTATTATTCTAGCGCTTTTTTCTCTCTCTCTTTTTTCTCTTTTAATTCTATTGCTTTTTTTCTCTCTCTTTTTTCTCTTATTATTCTAGCGCTTTTTTCTCTCTCTCTTTTTTCTCTTTTAATTCTATTGCTTTTTTTCTCTCTCTTTTTTCTCTTATTATTCTAGCGCTTTTTTCTCTCTCTCTTTTTTCTCTTTTAATTCTATTGCTTTTTTTCTCTCTCTTTTTTCTCTTATTATTCTAGCGCTTTTTTCTCTCTCTCTTTTTTCTCTTTTAATTCTATTGCTTTTTTTCTCTCTCTTTTTTCTCTTATTATTCTAGCGCTTTTTTCTCTCTCTCTTTTTTCTCTTTTAATTCTATTGCTTTTTTTCTCTCTCTTTTTTCTCTTATTATTCTAGCGCTTTTTTCTCTCTCTCTTTTTTCTCTTTTAATTCTATTGCTTTTTTTCTCTCTCTTTTTTCTCTTATTATTCTAGCGCTTTTTTCTCTCTCTCTTTTTTCTCTTTTAATTCTATTGCTTTTTTTCTCTCTCTTTTTTCTCTTATTATTCTAGCGCTTTTTTCTCTCTCTCTTTTTTCTCTTTTAATTCTATTGCTTTTTTTCTCTCTCTTTTTTCTCTTATTATTCTAGCGCTTTTTTCTCTCTCTCTTTTTTCTCTTTTAATTCTATTGCTTTTTTTCTCTCTCTTTTTTCTCTTATTATTCTAGCGCTTTTTTCTCTCTCTCTTTTTTCTCTTTTAATTCTATTGCTTTTTTTCTCTCTCTTTTTTCTCTTATTATTCTAGCGCTTTTTTCTCTCTCTCTTTTTTCTCTTTTAATTCTATTGCTTTTTTTCTCTCTCTTTTTTCTCTTATTATTCTAGCGCTTTTTTCTCTCTCTCTTTTTTCTCTTTTAATTCTATTGCTTTTTTTCTCTCTCTTTTTTCTCTTATTATTCTAGCGCTTTTTTCTCTCTCTCTTTTTTCTCTTTTAATTCTATTGCTTTTTTTCTCTCTCTTTTTTCTCTTATTATTCTAGCGCTTTTTTCTCTCTCTCTTTTTTCTCTTTTAATTCTATTGCTTTTTTTCTCTCTCTTTTTTCTCTTATTATTCTAGCGCTTTTTTCTCTCTCTCTTTTTTCTCTTTTAATTCTATTGCTTTTTTTCTCTCTCTTTTTTCTCTTATTATTCTAGCGCTTTTTTCTCTCTCTCTTTTTTCTCTTTTAATTCTATTGCTTTTTTTCTCTCTCTTTTTTCTCTTATTATTCTAGCGCTTTTTTCTCTCTCTCTTTTTTCTCTTTTAATTCTATTGCTTTTTTTCTCTCTCTTTTTTCTCTTATTATTCTAGCGCTTTTTTCTCTCTCTCTTTTTTCTCTTTTAATTCTATTGCTTTTTTTCTCTCTCTTTTTTCTCTTATTATTCTAGCGCTTTTTTCTCTCTCTCTTTTTTCTCTTTTAATTCTATTGCTTTTTTTCTCTCTCTTTTTTCTCTTATTATTCTAGCGCTTTTTTCTCTCTCTCTTTTTTCTCTTTTAATTCTATTGCTTTTTTTCTCTCTCTTTTTTCTCTTATTATTCTAGCGCTTTTTTCTCTCTCTCTTTTTTCTCTTTTAATTCTATTGCTTTTTTTCTCTCTCTTTTTTCTCTTATTATTCTAGCGCTTTTTTCTCTCTCTCTTTTTTCTCTTTTAATTCTATTGCTTTTTTTCTCTCTCTTTTTTCTCTTATTATTCTAGCGCTTTTTTCTCTCTCTCTTTTTTCTCTTTTAATTCTATTGCTTTTTTTCTCTCTCTTTTTTTCTCTTTTTATTCTATCACTTTTTTCTCTTTTTTTCTCATTTTATTCTATCGCTTTTTTTCTCTTTTTATTCCATCGCTTTTTTTCTCTCCCTCTTTTTATTCTATCGCTTTTTTCTCTTTTTCTTTTTATTCTATCGCTTTTTTCTCTTTTTTTCTCTTTTTATTCTATCGCTTTTTTTCTCACTCTTTTTTTCTCTTTTTATTCTATCGCTTTTTTCTCTAACTCTTTTTTTCTTTTTATTCTAGTGCTTTTTTTCTCTCTCTTTTTTTCTCTTTTTATTCTATCGCTTTTTTTCTCTCTCTTTTCTTCCTCTTTTTATTCTATCGCTTTTTTTCTCTCTCTCTTTTTTTCTCTTTTTATTCTAAGTCTCGTTTTGAGTGACCCAAATGATTCTGGTGCAGTTCTGTCGTAAACCAGCCTTATTTTGGTGCAGTTCTGTCAAAACCCAGCCACTAATTGAACAAATAACATAAATTCAACTCCCGACACAAAGGGTCGAATGAGGTCCCCACAGTTGCCTTTCGAGAACTTTATTTACAGCCATTTAGAAGCCAGCAAACAGGTAAGCTTGAACATGAAGCAGCCAATGTTGCTCTGTTGTCACGTCTCTGGTGGAACTGCTCATGTTTTCTGGAAAACAAAAACACCAAACAAAAAAAACCCAAGCAATTTTTGATGCCACCCATTGTGTCTTTTTCGGAGATTGTACAATCAGGTTTAATGCTGTAGATCAACCCCCCAAAAAACCCAGTCGGTTCCAAAGCCGCCTTTCGTCCCATCTCCTTGTGGTCCACAAAGTTTAAAAAAAAAATGTTATGTTGCGAATGTCTTGTCCACTACAGAGGTTTGATTTTGTTGAGAAAAAAAAAAGGAAAGATCTTTGGAGGAATCCCATACTTGCTCAGCTGTCCACTAATCGACTTTCTCGCAGCGTTAAAAAACAGTTTGAAGTCTTTTCTGGTCATTTTTTGCCAACCAAAACAAACAAACAAAAAAAGTAGTCGAGTGTCTGTTTTCCACAGGCGTGTTGATGACCTGGTTCAGTAGATGACTTCGTACACTGTGGCCTTCTTGTCCCCTGAGCCTGTCACAATGAACTGGTCGTCAGGGGAGATGTCGCAGCTCAGCACAGACGATGACTCCTTGGACTGGGAAAAAAAAAAAAAAACACAAACACACAGTAAGTCCTTTTGGAAATTTCACCTGAAACAGTGGGAGGCTGTTGAAAGGAACGGTTGCGTGAAGGGTGACCTGGAATATGCTGGAGCCGTAAGGTGTCCGCCACGCGTTCAGCAGGTTGTCTTTGCCGGTGCTCACAAACCATTTACCTGCAGGGGGCGTGCGCGAGCACAACATTAGGTGCGGGTCCAAGCTAACCGTTGCCTTCAGAACGTAGTGCGGTTGGAGAATGCCCACGACGGCGATGCAAGTGTACAAATACTTTATTCTGGTCACAATGAAAACTTTAAAAAATAATATTTAAATACATAAAGATATCCATAGCGATATTTAGACAGACGGATACTGTAAAGCAGGGGTGTCAAACTCATTTTTGTCGCGGGCCACATTGTAGTTACCAGTTTCCCTTGGAGTGCCGTTACAAATTTTGGGAAACCATATCAATGTTTAATCACCTCCACATAGTACATACGCAGCGCACAACAAATTGATGGATAACCAGTTTTAAAATCAGAAGTCAAGAATAATGACTGTTTTTGTGGATTACATGTGACAATTTGAAATTTTGGTTCAGACTTTAGCAAGCATCATGGAACTTGACATGCATGATTTGCTTCCGCGGGCCGCGTAAAATGATGTGGCGGGTCAGATCTGGCCCCCGGAGTTTCCCTTGGAGTGCCGTTACAAATTTTGGGAAACCATATCAATGTTTAATCACCTCCACATAGTACATACGCAGCGCACAACAAATTGATGGATAACCAGTTTTAAAATCAGAAGTCAAGAATAATGACTGTTTTTGTGGATTACATGTGACAATTTGAAATTTTGGTTCAGACTTTAGCAAGCATCATGGAACTTGACATGCATGATTTGCTTCCGCGGGCCGCGTAAAATGATGTGGCGGGTCAGATCTGGCCCCCGGGCCCTGACTTTGACACCATGCTGTCAGGGGTAGGTACCTCCAGTGCATATTTTAAATGTTTTCTAATTCCTCCAATACACGTGATTCAAATGATCAGATCCTCATCTAGCTCTGCCGGAGCCTGATAAAGGTCCTGATCATTTGAAACATCTAAAACATGCAGGTAAGCGGCCCGAGGAATGGAGTTTGAGAGAGAGGGAGAGAGAGACTGTCCATAAAGTTATCGAGTTTGGAATATGGGCCTCAAGCCTGCGTTAGGGTTTCTAGTAAGGCATGCGCTCACCGCAGTAGGCAAACTTGAGCGAGAGCACGCAGCTCTCGTGAAGGTGCAGCTGGTACTTGTCGGGCTTGGACACGTGGAGCACTTCCACGTTGCTGCTCTCCATCCCCACCGCCAGCCACTCGCCCGTCGGACAGTAACCCAGCGAGAAGATCTGCCGACGGCGACGTGGACATTTTGACAAAAGGGTTCAGGCTTGAAACGAAGTCTGCCTAGCGACAAGCGATGGCGCACCTGCGAGGTGAAGTCGTGCTGCTGCAGCTGCCGCCCTTCCCTCAGGTCCCAGCAGCGCACGGTGTTGTCCAGCCCCCCCGTCCACAGCTTGGTGCCGTCGTTGGAAATGTCGATGCAGCTCGCTCCGTCCGTGTGGCCCTGGAACTGTCTGTGGCAACGACAAACGCATTCGATACGGGCAAAACATGAGCGCGATACGTTCTGGGCCTCTGTCAGCTTCCAACAGTGGACGAGAGCTTCGTCGGCAACCGCGACTCTCCTTTCCACACGTGCGAGGGGGTAAAAGTATGATTTCAAAATGAAAGCCGAACAACCTTCACGATAGCGGCGGGATCACCGTATCGAAGCGCTATAGCGAATTCGTTCTCGGTTTCCAGAGGCGAGGCATGGGCGCGGTTACCTGACGAGCGTCTGGTTGTGCAGGTCCCAGACGACGATGTTGCCGTCGCTGCAGCAGGAGAAGCACACCTTGTTGTCGGGCGAGATGGCCAGCGCGTAGCAGGCGGGCGCCGAGGACGTCAGCTCGGCTTTGATGCGAGGGGTGGGCGTGGCCAGGTCCCAGATGGACAGCGTGCTGGCCTCGCCGCCCACGATCAGCGTGCGCCCGTCCGACAGAAGTTTGCACGAGCGGATGTAGTTATCGCGGTTCTGATTGGATGACAGACGGAGAGATTTGGTTTGATAAAATGACATACAACTTTTGTTTACATATACAGATCAGTCTACACTTTGTTTTTACACAAATAGAAATTAAATAGGAGGGAAGAATCATAAAATGTAAGGAAGGAAAATGTATGTTACTGATATTTTAGGAAACCTCATTTGAGCATGATCAGTGGAAATAATAATCAAAATAAATGCACAAATTTAAGGACCAATCCATTTGTATATCTTTGGTACATGTTACATACAAATGATATCATTTTAAAGAGACAGGAAAATATGCATGATATTTATGTATCCTAAAGACGCGGAAAGAGGACGGACCAGGCAGTCGAGCTGCGCCATGGGACTCTTGCTGCCCGGCTGGCTGATGTCCCAGACCTTGACGCAGCCTTTGCCCCCCGTGTAGACGTGGCGCGTGGACGTGCTGATGGTGACGGCGCACACCACCTCGCCGTGGCTCAGGCTGTGGATCTGCCGCGCGTGGCGAGGGATGCCCGGCCCCAGCAGGGCGTCCGGGGGGAAGGGCACCGGCTGCATCTGCCCGTCCGCGCTCACGTGGAACGAGTAAGCCCTGTGCGGGGAAAAACAGGAGGGAGGGGCCATTACAACTGGAATTTTGTGTTTAACAGTATTTCTGAAATGTTATTATGAGACCATATTGCCCAGCCATGACGGTCAAGAAATGAAACCATTCGGTTGAGTGTCATAAGCACAAACTTACGGTTTCCCAGAGGCGGCTGACTGCAGGCTGGCAGGCAAGCCGGGCACTCTCATGTGTGGGTGTGGAGACTCGTAGCCCACCTGTGCATCAAAACAAGCGAGAGAGCTGAACTGACTTTAACAAGCACAGCTAATTGCAGTGTTCTTGATGATTGATGCAGTTTTTCTATAGATGGCGCCACCTTTGTGCCAAGGCACTATTTATTGAGTTGAGGCGTTTCATTTGACAATAGTGGCGTTTTGCCCCCCCTCTTGTCGCATATATGAGCCATTAAAAGCCGCTTGTGGCGCAGGTGTCAATCGCAAGCGCATTTCCAGTGCAAAGGGGAACACCGTCATGCATCGTCTCCATCCAAACTCTCTTCTGCTGACTTATTGCAGGTGCTCACCACTGGGGAGCGTCCATAGCCCGCCGCTGCCGCCGCCGCCGCCGCGACAGCCGCCGCCGCCGCTCCGTTCATCTGCGGGGAGACCAGGTGGAGGCCGGCGCCATAGGCCGCCGCCGCCGCGGGCAAGTCGCCGTTGACCCCGGGAGGGGGCAGGCCGAAAGCCCCCGGGGGGTACGGTCCCTGCACGACCAAGGGGTTCCTCAGACCCAGAGCTGTGGAGAAGAGCTGCGGGTTATCTCACGTGCGTTCATGATGCCGCTCCAGCTTTCTAACTGAATGAGAGACGCCGCAGTGCCGGAACACGAGTGCCCCCTGCTGGCTGTCGGGCGGTACCTCCCTGCAGAGACAATTGACAGCAGCAGTGCGGAGTGTGTGCACGTGTTCAAAAGTGCTGACAGGAGACGACAGGAGGAAAGAGCCACGCACGCCATCGATGCCGTGCTCATTATGAAGCAGTCAATCAAGTCGGCTAATCTTCCCATTTATTCGATCTTGGCCCGCGGTCGCGTATTAAAAGGGTCCGGTCGGCGGTTGGCTTGCGAGGGGGAACGAGCGAGAGATGGCCGCCGCCCATACTAATCACTGCCGTTTTAGCATTCACACAACATGGAACGTCAGTGCTGGCAAATTATACAAGGGTGGGCCAAAAGCAGGTCTACACCTTTCAATGTTTTTTCAAACTTTTTTTTTTTTTTTTTAAATAAGGCCAAGGGATAAGGGCAAAAGCATCCGAGCATTCTGGACCGCAGGAAGAAGAGCAGAAAAGTGATTTTAAGCCAAGGAAGGAAGGAAGCAAGATAAAAGTGGGGCTGGGAGAAGAAGGGAGGAAAGAGGTCAGGAGGCAGTAAATGAAAAAGCAGGACTGAGGTGGAAGGAACGAGGGCACTCCGTTTACGACCGAGTTTCATTTCTATGGCGGCAACGTGACATGAATTTGTCCGCCTAAAGAGTCTCTTTGGGGGCGGCACCTTGATCACACACCAAACGTATTTCTGTGTGATCCGCCTGTACTACATTCAAATTTAGGGAGCAATCCGACAAAATCTCGACAACAAGTTTGTTTATATAGGACCGATTAGGGGGACTTGTCATGGTGTCTCACCTAGTGGGTCAACACCAGGCTTGCCAGGAATGGGTCTGAATTGTGGCGGTCCACTCGGTCCAGGGGTATTTGATTCTTGCGACATGGGAGTGCCTGGCTTCATACCTGGAGTGCTGGACTTCTCTCTCTGCACAGGAAGAAAATAAAGCAATAGTTTTAGTTCGGAGCACTGCACCTCGCGACCGACCAGTGCAGGGTGTACGCCCAAAGTCAGCTGTGATAGGCTCCAGCTCACCCGCCACCCTCATGAGGACAAGCGGCGTTGAAAATTGATGAACTGATTCGAGATAATAATACAGTGAACTCAACATTTTTTTTCCTTTCTCTTTACTATTTTTATATCATATTTTAGGATGGGGAAATATTCTATGGACTAAGGAGACAAAAGATGAATGTTTCGGAAGATTCGCAGCCCATTAAATCCAGAATAAAAATAACTAAACACTCGATCAAAAGAACAACGTGCCAACCATCAAACATGAAGGTGGCAGTGTGATGGTGTGGGCCTGCTTTGCTCCTTCAGGACCTGGGTGACTTTGCTGTGTTCGCAATTACTGCGTCAAAGTCCAGATTTGAATCCAATTGAGATGCTGTGTGCTCAAAAATGTCGTAATATGTCTCACTGAAAACAAGATGAAAAATAGGGCAAAATTGCTTCACAGGCATGCAAAAGACGCATTACAATTTATTGCAAATGCTTGATTGTTATTGCTGCCAAAGGTTTTGCCCCGAAAAAGAATCACGATTTAGAAATTGCTTTTGATGTTTAATCGTCTTTGTGAGATTAAAAATAATTGCTCTTTTTCACAGCGCTGTTTTAAAATGAGTCTATCAATGCGGCACTGAACCAAAAATGTAATAATTACTATTTTCCTACTCGCCATTTTAAAGGGGCTCCCCCCCCAACATCTGCATCTAAAGAGAACCCATCCGATTCAACGTGCTACCTGCGTGGGCTCCTTGCCACGAGACGGTGACGCGGCGCTACTGGAGGACGCCAGCGAGGTGGGGCTGGCCTGCGGGGGAACTTCCTTGCGAGAGGGCGGCATCTTGTCCAGGCCGTTCTCCCTGGACGAGTAGGACTGAACACTGCGGGGTGATGACGGGTCCTGGGTTGTCAGAGAGCGGAGACATTTAGCATACTTCAAATAACCCAAATTTAAAACTGCGACATGGCATGCACACACCTCGTCAACCACCAAGTTATCATCGCTTTTATCCGCATCGCTGCCCTGCAAAAGGAAAGAAAGTAGAGAAAGAAATGCGTGACAATAAGTTCACTAACAATCACTTAGATTTTCTACAAAAAGTCCGACGGCAAAGATGGTGCCGCGAAACCGCTTGTATGTTACAAAAATAAACGTCGTACATTATACTTTGCTACATTATACTTTGCTGCACACCAACTAGTTTTTATTTCATAAAAAGTCATGTTAAGATTTTGATAGAGTCAGCTCAAGATGAAGCTGAAATCGTATACGTATCGGCCAGTTAAATCAAGTCGCACAATTAAAGGAACTCAGAAGTCGAGTGGAACAGCGCGCGGGCGAGCTCACATAGTCCGTCATGAACTCCTTCTCGTCAGCTTTCCTCTTCTTGCCGTTGCTGAGGTAGTCTGCTGCGGGGCGACCTTTGTCCCCATTGGAGAGGGAGCTCTGCGGGGAGGGAGAGGAAGAGGGACGGAAGCAAAAGAACGGGAGTGACAGAGGAGAGGACGTTAAGAGGGCGACGACGAGGTGAGAGTGACCGCAATGAATCATCGAAAAAGACTCATAAACTGCAGACAAACGTGGGGGGGGGGGGATAGAACCCAACAAATATATCACTTACTCATTAATGACTTCTTTTTTTTTTTTCTCGCAGTGTTGCTATCCTGAGCTGATGAAACAATATTTTAAATGCTTTTAAATGACTAGACTTAAGACAACAGAGTATTTCCTAAGATTGAAAATGTACTTTTAATGGCTTGTATACAAACAGTTGAGTGTCGGCCCAGCCATCAAGCGTGAAATTAAACAACCAAGTTCATCTTTTTGTTGCAGCCCCTTTGCGGTTTGGGAAAACGCGCCGTCCACAGAACAGTGGGGCTGATTTACATAATAACTGCCCCTTGACAGAGTTTTCCCACCTATGACATGATCGGAAGTCCGGGCAAAGATCCAGAGCCACTTTTAAGCGACAACAAAAATGAGTGTCTGTCTTGTTAAATCCAGGAGGGGATGGAAGGAGTGGCGAGGTGAAGGCGGATTGTCTTCGAAATGTGGGAGGAGAGAGGGGGCGGGGTCAGACTGCTCAATTTACCCCGCCCAACCCTATGATCAATTTACGCCAGTTGTGCCACCAGACAACCTTTTGGGACATGCTATATTACAAAAACTGTCGATACACGCTGAATCTGATTGCTTATAGGGAAGGCTAACATCTTGAAATGTTCCGAAATTCTTCGGACCAAAAACTAGCTACGATCCTGAAAAGGAAAAGAGGCTCCACATACCACAGTGTGTATTTCTATGTGGTGAAATGCTTTGTACTCACTGGTCCTGCTTCGCGGTCTGTTTTCCAGGCAGGAGGGTCCCCCAAAAATAAAGAAGAAAACATTTGCCATGAGATAACAATATTCTATTTCCTTTAAAACAGCTGTGCCAAGACGTTAACTACCTGTAACGTCTTCGGATGTCATTGTAACCATCATACACAAGACGCTCGGTCCAGCTCTAATCTTGTGGAGCCACGTCATTTAGCTTGCCCGACTGAGTTCTTTGGTGAGGACTCAAACTTCACCGCCATTACAAAACAGAAATCCTTTGCAGTTTTGTATCACCCCTCTGTATTGCGTACATGGTTCCAATTTAGTAGCAATTGGACTAAATCTCTCGAAGAGGTTTCTTTTGGAAAAGGTCCTTGAAAATGGACAAAATGGCCACTTCAAACCAAAATGTCTGGACTTGCAGTTTTTAGATGTGACTTTTTGATACAATTCACGAAACAACTAATGATTAAAGTGCCACTAAACTTCCACGCAGCGGTATTGTAATTTCCTGTTACTGTGTATCATTGATATTTCCGGTTTCCTGTTATGTCTACCTCGTCAATGAATTCCCATAAATACTTTACAATCGATCAACAAAATACACAAAAAGCAGTAAGGAGATGGATAATGAAACTTTCAATGCGTATTGTAAAATGTCGTATCCAGAATTGTGACCGCATCCATCGTGTTTCGGCATCAAATTTCTATATACGGTCGGTACCGTATGATACTGCCGCATGGTGGAAAGGCACACAAACCAGGAGTAGCACAATGTTGATTGAATTAAAGCAAAAAAAGTTTTCTTAAAATTATATTTAATTTTGTCATTACTGTACATTTATATGCAGTATTGTCCAAAAAAAAACAACAAAACGGTACAGACATTCGTTGGTGTTTTGTCGGGGGTGGTTGAATGGATGAAAGGGATTAGCATTCATTTAAATGATGACCTCACCACTAAAGTCAAGGTAGCACTTCTCTTTCACTCTCAATTACTCATTCATGTTGAAATTCTGCAGTCTTATACCTCTGTGATGCTCGGCAGCGGCGGCGGCGGCAGCGGCGGCCTCGAGGTGAGCCCTTTCGTCCTTGGCGGCCAGCTGAGCCCCCAGAGCCCCCGACAAGGCCAGCAGCCCGGAGCCCCCGCCCAGGGCCAAGCCGGGATGGGGCAGTCCTGACGGGTGCGGGCCCACCGGCAGACCCTGCGTATGCTGCGAGAGGTGCTGCGCCTGAAGCTGCTGCTGCATGGAGGGTGGGGGGAGGGGGGGAAGACACGGGTGACTTATAGGTGCTTCTAGGGGGGTGAAGTCCAGAGCAGGAAAGCAGGAATTGCAGTGGGAGAAATGCACAAGTCAGGGCAGTGGGCCTAATGTGGGAATCGTATTTGCATGTGAAAATGCCAGTGGGACAATTTCAAGTCCAATCATACCAAACTAATGTGCAGTGGGCCTAAAAGGGTGCCTCATTAGTTATTTTTAAAAAGTGGAGAAAAAGGAGGGAAAAATAAACGTGAGGATAAGGTACACACGCTATGAGGCAGAGGGGGGAGCCCACGTACCCCTATGGAAGCATTTAACTCCCCCATGGTCACCTGTTTGGCGCGCTCCATAGCTTGGACCACCTGTTGCTGGTGCTGCAGGGCGGGGGGCAGGGGGGGAAGAAAAAGGCAGAGGTCACTCGAAGGACACGCCGTGTTCGCGCCCATTAATATTCATTGTGTGGAAAGCGGATTGATTAGCATGAAAACCTATTTAGCATGTAGGAATGCGTGTGGCCAGTTGGCTATCGCGGGGAAGGAGTGTGCTTCCAGGTTCTTCTGTGTATGCGTGCGTGTGCGTGTGCGTGTGTGTGTGTGTGTGTGTGTGTGTGTATGTGTGTGTGGCACAACCCTTGACATTTACGCTCTTGCGTGTGCATTTGTCTTTGCTTAGACATTTTGGCTGTAAAAATGCTTGGATGAGCAGTTTTTTGCCCTATTACATTCTGTCCGTGTATGTGTACCGAAATGTGTGTGTGTGTGTGTGTGTGTGTGTGTGTGTGTGTGTGTGTGTGTTTTGTCTCTCTTTGTGTGGCACAGCCCTTGGCATTTACACCTTTATTGTGTGGACATTTGTCTTTGGCTGTACATTGTGGCCTGGTAAAATGCTTGGGTGAGCTTCATTCACACTATTAGAGCGTGTGCGCGCACGCGCTTGTCGTTTATCTTTTTGCGGCACAACCCTTGACATTTACACCTTTTTTGGGTGAGGACTTATCTCTGGCTGGATATTTGGGCTGGAAAACGCTATGGGACAAACTTTCACCCTATCAGATACTGTGTATATGTGTGTGTGTGTGTGTGTGTGTGTGTGTGTGTGTGTGTGTGTGTGTGTGTGTGTACGTGCAGCCCACCTCCTGTGACAGGAATGGGATGAGTTGAGCACAGATCACATTCAGGCGTTTGGCAATCTCCGTCTGCAAGCGGGGGAGGGGAAAAAAAAAAAAAAAAGATATTTGATGAATAAACAGACACACAAAGATGCGCACACACACGCGCACACACACAAATGCAGCAGCACTTGCACTCCGTCGCTGACCCGCTTCTCCCCCAGATCCCCCCGTGTGGTAAATATTTCAGCCGCTTACATCTGGTCCATGCAAATGGAATCTTTGCCAGGGAGTTGGACTAAAATATTCATGGTGAGCATCTGCTGTGGCCACAGCCAGCCCACACACACGCACACACACGCACAAACACACACACACTAACAGTGGGTGTGTGTTGTGGTGGTTTGAGAAAAAGATCTTTTGTGTGTGCGCTCCTCAGATGTTTGCATATGCGTTCGCTTTCTGTTTGTTTGCGTGCATGTGTGTGTGTGTGTTTCGCGCCAGGGGTCAATTGCGCTTACTGAGCGTGTGTTTCCCAGCGCTCTACGGCACAGCCAACTCCTCTTCCTCATCCTCCCGTCTCATCGAATGTGTTTACGCCACAACAACAAAAGTAGGGGCGGGAATCAAATAGATTTCATCACCAAATGTATCAAGATTAGCGATAATCCATATGTTGGACGAAAAGTGTTTCTATTGGTCGTTTGGCAGCGCTGACAATGCACGGAGGAGAATTTTAGTTAGAATATCAATATTTGATGGTGTACCTGCACTGTGGTGTCAGCGACGTGCTACATAAGCAGGCAGGCAATAGTTTGATGTTTGTATTTTGGCGCGTGCCCGTTGACCACAGGAAGGAAGCATGTCTTCCTTTTTTTTTTTTTTTTTTTAAACAGTCATTTTTTTTCACGACTGGACAGTAACATCATTGTGATGCCCTCAATGTGAAAACTAAAACTTACTTCGAAATGCTTGTCTTTAATTAGCGTTGGACAAAAAAAAAATAATAATAATAAAATAAAAAACACACGCATTGTTATCTGTAGTGGTGCAATGTTGAATTACGGTCTAGAATTCCTTTCAGCTCAATGCCAGCAATATGAATGAACATACTTTTCAGAAAGCCAATTCCCACCTAATTTCGACAATAGAAATTAGACATAGTAACAGCATCATTAAAAAAATAGATATATTTCACTCTGTGGCTACTGAATAACTTGTTTTCTAATTGAACAACTGAAATAAATTCCATTTTCCATATTGTAACAGCGATGCAGCTGGAAAGTGTGGCATTTGCGTTAATATTAATGCATTGTATGTCTGCCATTCCCCCATGCTGGTGTTTAGGCTCCAAAAGCACTGTTGCCACGGAAACCAGCAAACATTGCCTTGGTTTGGCTTTTAGTTAAAAATAGTCTTGCTTTAAAAAAAAAAAAAAAAAAAAAAAAAAACCCTGTGTTTATTCCAAGTCGGCCTTCTTCCATACCTCCCTTGCCGATATTATTGATTAGTGTTACATGCTTCGGTGCATCCAAGCACACTCGCAAGCGCGCACACACACACACACACACTCACAACACACACACACCATCAAGGCCGTTAGGGCCAGTAATGATATGCATGCAGAGATCATGACAACATCATTATGGCTGCAGGCTGTTTGTCTAGTTGACAGCCAGCCTGTGCTGAGGTGTGTGTATGTGTGTGTGTGTGTGTGCGCGCATGCGCTCACACATACACAGGCACACAACCCCATTCCCTCCTAAGTGATTTATTGACGCCGGACTGAACTTCCACCCCCTCCTTTTTTCTTCCTCCACTCTCTCATTCCTCTTGCTTGGCCACATACACCCCCCCATCCTCCTCCCAATCCATCAGCCCCCACCATCCCTCGGCCCCGCCTGCCCAGGGGAGACACAATGATTTCTTGTTAGAGAACTCCAACTACTAAATGACATCTTCAGGAGGGAGGAAAGGAAAAGGGGCAACAGAGAGAAAGGGGAAGAAGGGGGGGGCAGAAGGAGGAGAAGAAGAGATGAGGGGGTGATGGAACGGGAGAGGAGAGGATTGGGTGGCGAGGAAGTGTGACAATGAGGCGAGGAGAAACAGACGGGAGAAAGGTGGGGGAGGAAAATCGACATCTTTGGGAAGAGTGTATGACCTGATTGAAAGTGAAATCCAGCATGGACTGTTTATGTCCGCGAGGAAGACGGGGGAAAGCGAAGATAAAGAGGAAATCAAAAGAGAGGCGCAGGATGCAGAAGAAACGGAGAATTAAAAGCAAAAAAAAAAAACAAAAAAACAGCAGAAGACAAAAGAAATGTAGAAGGAGGAGTCGTGACAGACAGACTGGAGCAAAAATGATAAGAAGAAAATTTTTCATCGAGTGTCGGACGGAATTCTGCATGGAGATCCTGTTTCAGCGCCTTGGTGGATATTTGAGGAAGGATACTTATGAAAGGGAGGGAGAAAGAACGTCGGGGAGGAAAATGGTTCAAAGTGACATTGAATGAGAATGAAAAAGGAAAAAAAAAAGAAATGTTGCTCACCTGTTTGTGCATTTCGATGTTCAAACCGTAGGACATCTCGTAATACTGCAACACACGCAAACAAACTGTTCAATCACAGGAATGATCTTACTTCTTATGTTTAGTTATGATAAGCATCCCTTCATTTTTAAAGCAGGACATTATTTAAAATTGGTAGTGCAGAAAATGCACTGACATGAATTGATGAGGATTCAATTCCTAGTTTGGTCCCTAACATCGATGATCAGTGTTTTCTAAATTAATCCTTTGAGGGTCAGCGGTGACGAGAGTGGACAGATATTCAAATGTTGTTTTCTCAAATATGACTTCATCTTAATGTCACCGATGTGTATCAACCGCTACAACGGACCCTTCTGCATGTTGCCAGTGTGTCGACATTGAAGAAATGAAAAACTGGTGGCACCATAAGATATTACTCTTATCTCAATTGTTGGCTTTTTCTACAATTTGGCGACGGCAGCCTGCAATATGACCTCGGAAAGCCATCAGCGCTCGGAAAAAAAACGGGGCCTGAAGGGTATCCGCGAGGCCTCCGAGTGAGCACGAGCGAGGAAAGAATTTAGTCGGACCGCCGCAATAATCACGTCTAATTTGAGCGATTTGAACCTTTTGACTCCTAAGAAGAGCAGTGAGGAGCACAGAAGAGAGTGGAGAGCCAACGAGAGACAGGCGGCACTTTTTTCCTTTTCTCTCTCTCTCGCTCTCTCATTTTAAAGTCGGATGCTTCGCAAAGTGACAGGCTGACATTTGCTTTTCAGAGAGGAGATTGGCAAGTTGGCACGCCAGAACATTCTGGCAGGATGGCAGGAGAGGAGATGGGCAGGGGTTGTCTCTCTGCAGACATCTTTTCTTGGCAAGTCTGCGCGTGTGTGTGCGCGCATGCAGGTGTGTATGTGCATGTGTTGCTGTTTGTCTGCGCCTCCATAAAAGATGCCTTTCCTGGCAGCTGGCAGCTCCGCTTGACAGTTGGTGTGCCAAGTTTCGCCTGTTGCTTAGCAACACTCAAACTCCCCTCCACCACCACCACCACCCCCCAAAATCAGCCGCCAGGAGAGGAGACCTCGCCAAACCGCCCCCTAGCCCCGATTTTCTTTAGCAAGAGCCAAAACTTCAAGCCCCATCCCCTCCACCTCCACACATCGATACACAATTCCAAGCCCGATGCCAGGAATGCCACAAAGCATTTTTTTGGCAGGGCTCAAGTGGGTTCTTGGCAGCCAGCACGGGTTCAGCTGTGGTGGCGAGGGGTTCAGATGGCAGGCAGAATTCCCGCCGACTGAACGGACCCAAGTATTCACAGAACGCCACCCTCATGGTACCGCCGCAGCGCAGCCAAGTGGAAACACACATTAACCTCAAAACTTGTGCGCGCCTCATTTGTTTTCGGCGCAACATTTCCATACTTTGCTAGTTCTTTGACCATTCGTGGCTGTGACCCCGCTAATTGAAACCAGTTAAGCACTTCATTTGGCCTCAAGGCACGATTCATCAACAATCAATTTTGCCCGGCTGATCAAATAGCCAATTATTACGAAGCCGATCCTTCGCGTGACCGTTTGAGAGAAGCTATTGCCAAGCCCAAATTACCAAAGAAAGGAATGAACCGATTAATATGTCACCGGTGCCATGTAAATGAGTGTTCTGCAACTTCTATTGACTCAAGGTACAGGCTGCATTTCACATTAGGGTACACCCTCAATTAAGTCATAAATGCGCTTGGAGTGGAAGCCAGGCCTGTTTAGTCGAACACAAAGCAGTTATTATTCTCTTGCATGACGGCAACAGGTGGATTCTGCTAACTAATGGAAGGTCATTTCACTCCTGTGCCTGTCACTATATGTTGCTGGCATAGATAGATGGACAAAGATTTGGGTTTTTTTTTTGTTTTGAGAAACATTAACACATTGGTTGGGAATCACCGGTGCAGAAATACTGCAATGTGATGAGCAGCCTCGGGTTGACATCACAGCCATCTGATTGGTCCCTTCTTGAGTGCTGCCGTAACGGTCTGACCATTTCACACAATTGCCTTTAGCCCAGGTGTCCACGTTGCACACGCACGTACTGTAAATGCTGCTTACTCCCTGGTAGAAAGTGTTCGTGTGTGTGCGCGTGAGTGTGTGTGTGGTCTTGCATGTGGTTCCTGGTGGGTGTTTAGCAGCTGTTTGCAGATGAAAAAGACCCAGACGACTTGGCTCACCATAACATAGTGTCTCTGGATCTCAGTCTTCTCGGTGGCCAGTTTCTCACATTCCAGCTTCAAACTGCAAAGAGAGGAAACGACACAAGGCGGCCAAAGCCGCTGTTAGATATCTATCGTTTGAATTTGACTCCAAATGAATATATTTATAAAAAAAAAAAAAAAAAAGTCTCAATTGGTGACAAAGGTCCCGCTTGCCTCTTCATCATGCAACACTAAGGCAGAGGGGATGTTGGGGGGTGGGGGGGTGTCAGCGTTAGGTGATGACAAACAATTAGCAGCTCGCAGCAGAGGAGAAACAGACAAGTCACACTTTGATCCTGACATCTATGCAATGTGTCGCTCTCTTTTGGGCTCTAAGTGACCTATTTGTCCTTAAATGTTTGTTTTCCTTCTGCCACCAACTTAGAATGAGTGCGTTGGAAAAAAAAAGCCCAAAACAAATTAGGAAAGCAACGTGTCGATACTGTACGTCTGCACTCGTGTTTCGAAAAATGTACCGAAACTATGCGACCGATAGCACCATACCAGGCTAACAGATACCTTCTCGGTAGGAGCCATCTCGGTCCGCACTTTAAGGTAAAAAGATGCCAACACTTTTAGCCGACTTCAAATTAGGCTCCGCTCGGGCGGCGGCGAGGGACGCTGCACCCTCGCAAATGGCAGCAGTGGGTCAAACCGGCAAGCACCGAGCTTTGCGCTCAGTCGCCGGCTCCATTCTGACCGGGTCGGACTTCTCGTCACAAAGCCATCGAGGCTTGGCGCGGTGAGTAAAGTAAGTGATTGTGTGATAAAGCACCACTTCAGTTGTCCTGTCGTTTTCATTTTACAAGTTGTGGACTTTTCTCAAGAAGCAGATTTGTATTTCTTTTCGACTTCATTTTCATCCGTCTTCAGGTTTGTTTGTTTTTAACAAGCCGACTCGACATTCTTCATCTCTTATTTCTTTGTCCCTCATCTACGTACGCGTTTACATAGCGCCCCTAGTGTTCAGACTGAGACATCACATAACTGAAATGCCTTGTGGTGGAGGCTGCAGTCGAGTGAAATCTGTGGCAAGACTTTTGAGAAAAACATGTCAATTGACGTTAAAATGTTACCAGCAGAAAGTGTTGCTTTGTTTTATTCTGTACATTTTACAACATCACTTTAAAAGACTATGGTTTGTAATGCTGTTTTAGAATAATTATAAAAACACACTTTCTAAAAATTATGACTTTTCCTAACTTAAAATGTCTCTTTACCTGAAAAAAAAATCCTCATGGATATGAATTTTAATAAATTATGCTCCCGACCTAAACAAATAAATATAAATAAATCTTACAAATAATACAAAAAAAATAACCCAAAACAAATCACTCTTAAAAAGATTATTTTTCTTTCTTCATAATAGATAGACTCCCCCCCAAAAAGGCACATTTCATTTATTTTCTTGTACACTTATTTACCGTCATAGCATATGCAGTATTTCACTTTCCATGTGTGGCCCTAATAATCCTTTCTATGAGAGAGCCTATGTCATATAATTTAGAAAACAATATACAATCTGCATTTCCCTTCCACCCTCTAAAAAGGCTGCAAAAGGTGCCCATGTCTCTAATTACCACTCTTCTGTTGAACATGCGCCCCTGAATGAAGGAAACACACACAAACACACGCACAAACACGCACACACAGCACAGATGAGGTGGCCAAAGACCTCTCCCATGTGTCCCATATCTCTCTGTGTCTGTCTCACCACTCTGGCCAACAGGTCCCTCCTGTCCCCTAACATCGGATAATGCTTTTGGCCACATTTGCAAAAAGACACACACAATTCTCTTCTGTGCCGCGTGTAACAAGCGCGCCAACAAGCGCGCCTACACACACACACACACACACACACACACACACACACACACACACACACACACACACACACCTAGTATCTCATGTCGCAAAGAGCAGCCTCCCTCCTCCCCAGAGAGGCAGTATTTTGGGCCCAGTTTACGCTGATTTGTTTGCAGGCGGCAAATAGATTGATAGGGGGAGCAGCAGTGGGTCGTTGCTCTGTGTGTGTGTGTGTGTGTGTGTGTGTGTGTGTGTGTGTGTGTGTGTGTGTGTGTGTGTGTGCTGATGATGTGTGTCTTGTGGGTGGGTTGCACGGCGGAGGAAAATTAGAATATGATTAATACGGCAACATTACCCCCCCCCGGCCGCAACAGGTAATAACAGCCCCATCAGCTCCCTTTTCACGCACACGCGCACACACACTGCACACATATAATTGACTCATTTATCATTGCCAGCCCATGCGCGGGAGAAGGGGAAGTAAGGGAGGCCGGGGCGGGCAGAAAGAAAGAGGAGGCAGTGGCGTCCAAAAGGTGGAGGGGAGTTAAGGATTAAAGCCCCTCCAACGCCACCCCCTTTCACCTTATAGATTTTATTACAGTGCAATTGCCTCTCGGCTCAAGTGTGCAGTGTGTGCGCGCCGTGTGGGAGTGTGAGTGTGTGCGTCAGCTACCTCATCCTCTTGTGTTGGATACATTATAAAAATCAATGGTGTTCTTGCTTTGACAGAGAAAAATAACCCCTGTAAAGTTTGAAGTTTTACAGAGAATTGATGATGACATGCACTGGACTGGAAGGTCTCAGCTTGCTCTTCGGGAGTTAAAAATTGTTTAAAAAAAAAAAGACTGTAAAGTGGCCGCAAGAAACATCGACCAACATGGTGGACCTGCTTCAAACCCGATTCTGCGGTCAAATTAGAGACCCCGCGTGTCAGGCTATGACAGACATACAATGGCAAATACAAATACAGACCCCTGATTTACGAAATATGATCAGTCAGAGCTCGCGCTTCAGATTCACGATCGTGATCACAACATTTAGGAGACATTATGGGATAATTGGCTGATCCCTGACATCATCGCGATTTGTTAGTCACAAATTCACCCAGGTCTGCATTGTATGTGTGTTCATTGCAACCGGACAAAAACTGTAGTTGTTTGTTTACATTCAAACTTAGCTTGCAGCCATGATGACTAACATCATGCATGCTCTCATACGGGTCAGTGGTCAATCCCTCATTGAAAAACATTACGTTGACTGTGCAACAAGGGAATAAAACTCTACCTCCTGTCTGCCAAATGCCAATTAATATTTATTTCCAGTGGATCTAACATGCATATTTTAAGAATGTTGAAGGAATTTGGCCAGAGATTCAAGCACGTTGTGTTAACCACGTGTGCACCGTGCTACCCAATCTTATTGCCATTCAAAAAAATTAAATATTTATTTGAATTATTCCTTTTCAAAAACAGCGTGGCGTTTTTTTTAAGACCGGCAGATTAAAGGTTTAAGTGAAACTTTTAAGGATAATTAAGGAATTCATTTTCCAAAATCGTATTTAAGACTTTAAAGACCTGCAGACACCCTGACCGTGTATTTCAAGACATTGTGATGTTCGAATGCCTTTACTATTTTGTTTTATACTCTTACTTCTTTTTTTTTTGTATGATGTGCATTTGATCATAACCACACATACAAGTCTACTGTCTGTCGATTTTTTTTCCTCCACACACATTTGCTACAAATAATGGCTTTCAAGGTTGAAAACTAGTACGTGCTCATCATTATGCGACTGACGGAGCCGGAGGAAGGGATGCGTTGAAAAACCAGACAGATAGACAGAAAAACAAAAGAAAAAAACGAAGAGAAAGAAAGAAAAAATGGAGACTGGTGGGGAGGAAATGGGGAAAGATTGGCTGTCATAATTAGGCTTGAGCTGGGTGCCATTTAGAGATGGTGGGAGGGCGAGAAGCATGAAAGGGGGAGGAAAACGTGTGCGCGTGTTTGCTTGTGTGTGCGTGTGTGTGCATGTGTATGCGTGTCTCAAATCTTTCCCTGGCGGTGACAGAAGATAAGGTGATCAGCTGAACGCGCTACAAATCTGCAGCCTGTCGGTTTTCCCGACAGCTCTGTCCGTGTTGCATGGCTGATGAACACACTCACACGCGTGTGCGCACACACACATCACTCAAAGCTAAGAAGCGTGTAAACCTGTATCACATTAGCGACAACACTGCATTTATTCAGCAACACACACCCACGCATGAGCCCAAACCTGCTGGATGAAAACACACACACACACACACACACACACACACACACACACACACAAAGAGGGTCAAAAAGGAAGTCAACTGAAGAGTCTAATTAAGATGCTGCACTTTCAGAAATGTCCCAGGTGTCGTTAACGGCTCCAGCCGTCGTTTTGCTTACCCTATTTTCCGGATTAAAGTCGCATCCCCCACCCCCATAGTTTGGCCGGAAGTGCGACGTATACTCTGGAGCGATTTATGTGTGAAATTATTTACACATTATATCAATTCGTTATTTTCACATTTAACCACAAGAGGGCGCTCTTAGCCTGTGTTGGTAAATTGACGAGGAGTCTGACGTAAGCGACGTCGAAGCGGAAGCGCCGCATCTTCTAGCTCCGGAGCTGGCGTCTTGTTTAAAAGTGACATCGAGGATGAAGATTTCAGTGGATTTTGTGATTTGGGGTCACACTGATGGTTTGGTAAACTCGTTAGCATGCTATGAATAACTCTTAATATGTGACGTGAACATACCAGGCACGTTCTCAGTTCGTTGGTTATGCGTGAACATATCGTACACTTATTCAGCCTGTTGTTCTCGATTTTATTTTTAATTGCGTTTCAAGATGACATGTCTGTACTTGGTGTTGGATTTTATCAAATAAAATTCCCCCCAAAATGCGACTTATACCCCAGTGCGACTTGTTTTTTTTTTGTTTGTTTTTTTTTTTTACTTCTCAAAATTCCCCCCAAAATGCGATTTATACCCCAGTGCGACTTGTTTTTTTTTTTTGTTTGTTTTTTTTTTTTTACTTCTTTATTTTGCCTTTTATGGCTGGTGCGATTTATAATCCGGAAAAGACGATACTTTCATTTTTATTCACTTTGGAGTTTTAAAAGCAGCGCCACTTCCATGTCGTGTTCAGGTTGTTCCTCTTCTACGGGGGATCGTCAAGGTGCGCACACTGGTTGCAGCCAAGCA